CCAACCAGTCTGGAACAACATCTCAGACGGTTGGGATTCCGAGGCGGCTCACTCCCGGGAAAGATGCAGAAAGCAGTGCTCTTAGATTCTGCCCGCATTGTACGCCGGTTTCTCTCCCTGGGGCCCTGAACCCCGACCGACTGTGCTTCTGCCGGGGGTTAGTTGCCATCTCCTCTCCTTAAGAGGGGAGATGAAAATTATAGTAAATTTTAAATAATAATAATAAAACCGAAACCGAGAAAAAGAGAAAATATCTCGACCTGGCTCACGAGGTGACCGAAATGTCCCCCACATTTCGGTCACCGAAATTATTCCAATCGTTTTGTCGGTAAACGGTCTTATCCCAACCAGTCTGGAAAAACATCTCAGACGGTTAGGATTCCGAGGCGGCTCACTCCCGGGAAAGATGCAGAAAACGGTACTCTTAGACACTGCCCGCATTGTACGCGGGTGTCTCTCCCTGGCACCCTGAACCCCGCCGACTGTGTTTCTGCCGGGGGTTAGTTTGCCATCTCCTCTCCTTAAGAGGAAGGTGTAAATTTTGTAAAAATTTAAAAATAATAATAATAAATAATTTTTATTCAAGTAAACTTAATAATAAGCATATTTCAATAGTCATTTTATTTTATAAATCCACCGCCCAGTTCGGAATGCAATTTCAGCTAAGAAGAGCGGGCAAAAAACACAGCTGTTGCTTTTTCCAAAAGTTTAAATATCATCATATCAGCCTTTGTCTGTCCACTGCTGAACATAAGCCTCCCCTTTGGGGAGTTTTGCCAGTAGTTGCCACGCTTGGCAGGCGGATTGGCAACCGCAGTCAGGCTTTAGAGATGTTTTAAGAGGGACACTGCTGCCTATCCCTCGCCCCCCTTAGTCGCCTCTTACGACACCCACGGGATAGGAAGAGGTGGCCTATCTATGCCGGGACCACACGGCCAAAAGTTTAACTATATAAATAATGAATTTTTTTTTTACAACACAGGGGACAAACGAGCATGCGGCTCACCTGATGGTAAGTGACTACCGCCGCCCATGATCACCCGCAACACCAGCGGCATTGCAGGTGTGCTGCCGGCCTTTTAAAAAGGAATATACTCTTTTCTTGAAGGTTATGTTGTCATATCGGTTGTGTGAATACAAACTACTAGGCAATATGAGATTAAAATTTAAAATATAGTATGTAATTAAAATTGATGCAAGTATGAGGTAACAAACCAGAGGGAGACTTTGTACAAAAGTCGATTGCTTGGGTACCTCTGTCCCATTCGTGTTTCAACCGTGAAGCAGTTGTGTTTGCATGGCTGTGTTTTGGTTTAAATGGCGTGAATTTACTGGGTACAAAGGAATAACACCCGAGTCCTTAGGAATGGCAACGCATGGAGGTATCATGGGCGAAACAGTATACTCTGTTATGTCCATGGTACTGCTCATGTCTATAGGCGACGGTTGCAACGTTCCATCAGGTGGGCCGTCAGCTTGTTTGACATTCTAAGTTGTATAAAAAAAAACATAAAAAATACAAGCGAAGTGAGAACCTTCTTTTTTTGATGTCGGTTGATAACCTATTTGTTTACCTTTTTTTTCAAATCCGTTCAACCGTTTAAGAGTGATTGACTAATAAACATCCAAACATATTTCAAAACTTTCACTTACACAATATTTGTCAGTTTAAATGTGTGGTCTGCGCTCCTTAACCCATATCCGCACATAACAGTTTCGAAAATAAAACTTACGACTACCCACGTTTATATGAATAGCTTTATATATCTTCAATTTCAATTTATAAATTTACATAGTAATAATATATATCTAATATATAAAATTCTCGTGTCACGGTGTTTGTTACCAAACTCTTCCGAAACGGCTTTACCGATTTTTATGAAATTTTGTGTACATATCGGGTAGGTCTGAGAATCGGCCAACATCTATTTTTCATACTCCTCAATGATAAGGGTGATCCTTCCCAAAATTTTTTCTCTCCAGCAACCAGCAAAATTAATTGTTTTTTATTCTTTTATATTATTGTTTGTTTAAATATTATTAGTGGTAATACTTTTTTTTTATACAACTTAGAATGGCAAACAAACTGACGGCTCACCTGATGGAAAGTGGTAACCGTCGTCTATAGACATGAGCAGTAGCATGGACATAACAGAGTATACTGTTTCGCCCATGATAACCCCCATGCGTTGCCATTCCTGAGGACTCAGGTGTTATTCCTCTGTACCCTGTAAATTCACGCCATATCCCCACCCTTCAAACCGAAACACAGCCATGCAAACGCAACTGTTTCACGGTTGAAACACGAATGGGACAGAGGTACCCAAGCAATCGACTTTTGTACGATTTATCTATCTATCATATATAACAATATCAATATATTTTCGTTACAATATATACTTGTCTAATAACGAATATGTTAAAAGTTCAATCGTCCAAATTCAATCCAAAGCGGCCACGTTGCCAATAACAAATGTAGTTTTTTTTTATTGATAATTAAGTGTTTTATATTATTCCCAAATTCGTGTATAATATAGTATATATCATATATGTGTAAGTATATTTGTTATTCATATATATTTATTCGTTTATATATGTAATTTTAGTATGTATGTATATCAATAATTACTAGTACCGCATTCGAGTATTCTGACACTTCCCTATGGTTGACTGGGAGAGAATGCTTTTAGCATTAAGTCCGCCATGTACACATATTTGTAGTAATTAATAAATAAATAAATAAATAATGTAACTCTTTTTGTTGTTGGCAATAAATGTTTTAATAATAATAATAACTTTCACGAGGTTCTCGTGAAAGCCGAAACCGGGAAAAAGAGAAAATATCTCGACCTGGCTCACGAGGTGACCGAAATGTGGGGGGTGACGTCCACCGAAATCATTCCAGTCGTTTTGTCGGTGAACGGTCTTATCCCAACCAATTTGGAACAACATCTCAGACGGTTGGGACTCCCGGGAAAGATGCAGAAAGCGGTACTCTTAGATTCTGCCCGCATTGCACGCCGGTTTCTCTCCCTTGGGCCCTGAACCCCGGCCGACTTCTACCGGGGGTTAATTTGCCATCTCCTCTCCTTAAGAGGAGATGTGAATTTTTTTTAAATTAAAAAAATAATAATAAACTCTTTATTGCGCACAATAGAGATGTATACAAGGAGTATTTATACAGAATGTGCATATACAAGAGGCGGCCTTATCGCTAGAAGCGATCTCTTACAGACAACCTGGATGTTGTTGTTTGTCAACATGTTTTCTTTCTTTCTTTCTTTCAATATTATTTTTTGAATAACAGATAGATAGATAAATAAACACTTTATTTAAGCTATTTATGACACACGTAAATTTACAAATGAGTTCATACAACCAAATTATTAACACTTTTTTAAATATAAAACAAAAGATAAAGTATGGAAATATGTTTTCACCAAGTGTGTCGCAGTGACCCAAATAGGCTACAGCTCAGTGATAGTTTTGCTTAAAAGCAAAGCACTGATTTTCAGCTGCAGCCTGAAGTTTGGCTACACGGACGCGTGCAACAAAACCCAGAGTGTAACCTGTGTAACCAATTTAACAGCCAAAGATAAAATTGTATTATATAGATACATACTTACATAATTAATGAATAAATAATATATTTCATTAATTAATTAAACATACAGTATAAATAATTCACCACAATAAATATTATGTTAAAAGCAGTCGCTACCAGGCGACCAACCCAAGTTTTTGCTTATTTAATAAATTATATCGAAATTGGTGATGAACTTTTTTCCTCCATCAATGTCCATAGGAAACTTATATATAGATACCGGATCGGTGTCCGTATATTACCCATACCTAATAATAGACACTTTCCTTAATTTATAAATTAATGTCTCGAGGTTTTTTTTATAGACAATAATATGCAAGACGCGGAAATAATTTCGCGCGGAAATAATGTCGCGCGGAAAAAAATCCGCGCGATGAACAAACACGCAACTTCTAGTTTTAGTTTTTCATAAAAAAGACTAAAACATTCTACAAATCTAATTTAATTATTACATTGTTTTGTCACTTTCTTACAAATTTGGAATTTTGTGTAAAAGAAAGACACAAAAGCTCAATAGCTAAAATAGGTTTATAAAGATTTGATGTTTTTATGAATAAGGGGATCAGAAAACAACAAAAAATGTGAAGGTAACCATCGCTTGTAGACATGAACAGTACCGTGGATATTACAGGATATACTGTGACACCTCATGCGTTACCATTCCTGAGGACTATGGTACTAAGGTACTACACTCTGTAGTTTCACTAACATATCCCTACCTTCATAAAACATAAACATAGCCATGTAAGCATAACTGCTTCATGGTAAAAACATTAGTGGAACATTAGTCCCCATGGAGACTACTTTTTTTTTATACAACTTAGAATGGCAAACAAGCTGACGGCCCACCTGATGGAACGTGGTAACCGTCGCCTATAGACATGAGCAGTACCATGGACATAACAGATTATACTGTTTCGCCCATGATACCCCCCATGCGTTGCCATTCTTGAGGACTCAGATGTTATTCCTCTGTACCCTGTAAATTCACTGCCATATCCCACCTTTCAAACCGAAACACAGCCATGCAAACACAACTGCTTTACGGTTGAAATACGAATGGGACAGAGGTACCCAATCAATCGACTTTTGTACAAAGTCTCCTTCCTTCCTTCTCAAAACTGGTTGAAAATTAAGAGATTTAAGGTTTTTATGAATAAGGCAGATTAGTAATATTAAAATTTCTGACACAAAATAATAAATTAAAACTTTTAAATTTTTAAATATCGAATGTCAATGCTTGTAACAGCATTAGGTACCTGTCAAAATTAAAAAAATACCGTCATAACAGATATAGGTACAGTCCTTTGCCTTTCCCTTGGGAATAAATAGGATAAAAAAAAATTACATTTCAAAGTTATAACAACTTTTAAAAAATTTAGAAAAAAAAGCCTACCTTTTCGTTGATTTTAGGCGGTTGCTTTACAATATACGGAATGCCGGGCACCGCTCCGAATATTGAGGGCATCATCGCTGGCGCAAATATCACTTTGACAGGTTGATTTTGACAGTTACACGACTTGTCAGCACTGGCCACTGTCACCTCGCGCTCTTGCTGACAACAACAGTGGTGGCACACTTTGACAGGTCGATTTTGACAGCACCCCTCCGTTTCGGCCGGTTTTGGCGCGCTTTTCATTTCAGTGTTGTCATTGGTTTTTGTTGTGATTGTTGTGTTCTTGTTGTTGCTATTATTAGTAAACAATTTTGGTTTCTTGGCAAATTCTTGCGGCAATTCCAAGAGCGGTGTTTTCCTTTTTAGATCCTTCGGTGTTTCTAATAAATATTTCTTTGTTGTGTCCGGTTTTTCTTGTTGTTTTTGGTCTGTTTTGTTGAACGGGTGTACTAGTAATGTTTTCGGGGTTTTGGTGTATGGATTGTGGAATGTATTTGTTGGTGAGGCCCCGGGGGCCTCAGTATTCCTTTTTGCATCCAATTTGAATGTTTTTATACAATCTCCTAATAAAATTTAATAATTTAATATATTCGGGAATAAAAATATGAAGCTGTTTTAAATAGTTACAAAATTTTTCGTTCCCTCAATGAACAAAGTTTTCTTTTAATATTTCTATATTATTGGAGGTAAATAATTTTATTTTAAACGTTTCTTTTTCTCAGTTTTTCCACTTTATAATCGTAATACCGTTTAATTGTTTTTTTTTTTATTTTTATTTTATAAACTTTTAATATTTATTAACACTTTACTGTTTTATAATTGTTTAATATTTGTTTTTGTTGAATTTGTCAAGACAATACCGGTTTTTAAAACTATATCCACTAATGTTCACTAATTAATAAACCAAAAACACGTCCACTATTATAGTAACTGTGATCCATAAACCACGCACAAGTTCAACGACCTCCAAACATAAACAACACCACGTGACAATGTTTGTAAACAAACAAACAACATTGCATCCCTTCACTATTTTACACCGAATACAACAAAACGCCGCGCGTCACTACGATGGACGATTAAAATCGAATTCCGAACTGGCCAGTTATTATTGTTCCAATTTTGAATTTCTTTTCTTTTTTATTTAATTTCAAAATGGTATAACATAGACACGTTTACAACACGACAGTCGTTTTGGCACTGAATTCGAAAGCAAAAGGAAAGAGGTGAATAAGGAGGGAGAGTGGCGGATGGGCGTATTTGTGGGCGTGGTCAGACCACGCCTGGTTCTAAATTATTATACTGTCTAGACAAAGATGGCGGTATAGAATTTTATATTAATAGACACATTATTAAGTATAAATCTAGCGTAACACACGTCCACTATAAATAATCTATGTCGACTTTTGTTATTTTTTTTTCTTTGAAACTTGAACCAAATGCGTGTAAATACTTATTTAAATGCAGTCTGACTATACGTACAGGAACTGTCCACTGCTGAAGATAAGCCTCCCCCTTGGGGGGTTTTGCCAGTAGTTGCCACGTTTGGCAGGCGGGTTGGCAACTATAGATCTATTGGAATTTAAAAAGTAACCCCACGGGATGACCTTCACGCAGTTTCCTTCTAGAAACCATCGTGGTTAATTCTAGTTGAATTTCTTACGAACTATCTGACCTGCTTACTTCCGCATCTGTCATCTCTCACTGGTGCCCCGCCAGTGTACTCGTATACGAATAGAGCAGACGTCGAAGCCATTCCATTATCACCTATTACAAAAAAAAATAACAATCTTGTTCGAAGAATGGGATATGGCAGTTAATCCTTCTTTGCATGTTTTTTTTATTGGTCTTTTATATAATTTTTGGGCATTAAATGTTATGATGGAAAGTTCCACCATTATGCAAAGAAGGGTTAAATTTATAGGGTACATAGTAATACATGGGGGGTATCATGTGTGAAACAGTATACTCTGTTATGTCCATGGTACTGCTCATGTCTACAGGCGACGGTTATCGCTTTACATCAGGTGGGCTGTTTGTTTGTTTGCCATTTTAAGTTGCATAAAAAAAATCATAGGAATAAATTTACAACCGATCTCAAATTAAGATAAATAGTCAAAAGCGACATTCATTATAGCAAAAAAAACTTTGATTAAATAACTAATTCTTAACCCTTCCTAACATCTTAATTTGGGGGGAAAGGGATTGTTAGTAATGGAGACTGAGAATCCTATTGCTAGCAATATACCCAACCAGGTCGACCTCCTCGTGGTACCCCTGTAAACTAACATGGTTAATTCCTGATGAATTCATCATGATGGGCTAACTGGCCTGTTTTCATTCTCATCTATCACCCTTCACTGGTGCTCTGCCAGCGTATCCCGTTAGCGCAGGCGGGGTTACCATACCATTTTCACCCATCAAAAAAAAATCTTAACCTAACATCTTTCAAATCATCATCATCTTTTTCCCATCCTTATCCCAATTACTATTTGTGGTCGGCGTAATATGTTTTTTATTCTATATTACAAAAAGATTTGGCTTATAGTTTCACGACTGGCCACCTGCCTGACGTCAACCCTCTTTGGGAATGTATTTGTTGGTGGTTCCCGCCACCTACGGTATGGAGGAAAGGATCGAGGAAAAAAAGGAAGGGACTTTTCAAGGCACTTTCTTCCATGCACAACCATTCTTTGGAATCAACTTCCAGCAGCAGTATTTCCGAACCGATACGACAACATAACCTTCAAGAAAAGAGCATATTCCTTATTAAAAGGCCGGCAGCACACCTGCAATGCCGCTGGTGTTGTGGGGGACCATGGGCGGCGGTAGTCACTTACCATCAGGTGAGCCGCATGCTCGTTTGCCCCCTGTGTTGTAAAAAAAAGGGAACATTGGAAATGCGTAAAATAAATTATTAACCTACTATTTTCGTCACCTTTAAAGTTACTTATAAATAGAACAAAATCAATTAGTATGTTCCTATTGCTAGCAAAATACCCTGACAGGTCGACCTCCACGTGGTCCCCCCTGGAAAGCATCGTGCTGAATTCCAAGTGTATTCATCACGATGGGCTAACTGACCTGCCTTTTCATTCTCACCTATCATCCCTGACTGGTGCCTCACCAGCGTATACCGTTACCGCAGACGGGGTTACCATTCTATTATCATTCATAAAAAAAAAGTTAACCACTTACCTTAATAATCTATTCATATAAACCGTGTGGTCCCAGCGTAGAACGGACCACTTAATCTTGTTTTATTTGTGAAAGCCTGTAATTGGATTTTTGTCTTTACTGACTTTTTTTTATTATGAAATTTTCTAGCTTTTTTTTAATACTTTTTTGATTAGCGTTAACTTTCCATTGCTGAACATAAGCCTTTCCCCATAAGAGATACTTACATATAGGACGTACAGACGGACAGTGGGATACTGTGTTCCCAAAATTCTAATTTAACTGTAGCCATTACACCCCAATTAGGGTTAATTCGGCTCATCCTAATAACCCTTTGTTGGTTAGTGTTGGCTCGTATTTAGTTCATTTATCGATGCCCAATATATTTTTTTTAAGACGACATATCTAAACTAAAATTTATTTATTTAAACTTAAATGCACTGTAAATTTTTTATACCACTAAAGTGGCAAACAAGCATACGGCCTAACTAATGGTAAGCGGTTACCGTAGCCTATGAACGCGTGCAATACCAGGGGTATTACGCGCGCGTTGCTGACCCTGAAGAAACCTCTTTACCCCCTTTTTGAAGAACCCCATGCTGTAGTCTCTTGAGAAAACCTCGGCAGGGAGCTCATTCCGTAACCTGAGTGTTCGTGGGAGAAAACATCGCTGAAATTGCGTTGTACGCGACCATCTAGGCTGTATGGTATGAGGGTGAAATCCCTGTCGATTTCGAGCCGTAAGACGGTAGAAAGTGACCATGGGCATCATATTGAACAATTCCTCTAAGCACAGTCCGTTGTACAAACGGTAGAATACGTAAAGTGAGGCAAAATCTCTTCTAGGATTTAAGGGTTCTAGTACTTCTTTTAAGCCTTAAATGTTGTGAGCAAGGGTGGACTTATCTCTGACAGACATCTCTTCCAGCCAGCTCAATAAATACAGTTGGGGAGAAAAGATTGTTAGTAAAGGGGATTAGTAGCCCCATTGCTAGCAATATACCCTGTCAGGTCGACCTCATGGTCCCCCCTGGAAACCATCGTGCTTGATTTATTGTTAGATTCGTCACGGTGGGCTAACTGACTTGCTCCATCCTCACCTATCACCCCTCATTAGTGCCCCGCCGGTGTATACCGATAGCGCAAGCGGGGTTACCATTCCATTATCATCCATTAAAAAAAAACCAATACAGTTAGAAAGCATGTCGTTAGCGGGCAGTTAAAGTGCTAAAATATTTAGAATATGAATTACTATTAACACTAATTAATACATAAACAAATATACAGTTAAATAAAATATTAAAATATATAATAAAATATTACATAAATACATACACTATAAATAAATATAATACCTACCTACTTATATAATAAATGTTAAAATAAATGAATATACTACTTACATTAGAAATTTAGTTTAAAGATTTCACCTTTTTTTTCACCTTCTTCTCTTTAGATGCACTGAGGTTTAGCCAACTTCGATTTCAGGTTTTCATTCTTTCCCTCTGTTGAAGGGTTTTATTATAATGTCTTTAACTTCTTTAGAAAACTAATGGTCATATTTTACAATTACATAATTAAATATAGTTCATTCTAACTTGTTGCTTCCGTAAAACTGGCTTAGTGTTTTAATTTAATTTATATTTGTAAATCACCGTGTCTTGGTAATCTCATATGGACTCCCGCGATACAGGTTCGCCTAGTGCGGGCTCCATTGTATTAGCTGTTGTAAATTTCTTGTATTTAATAAATAAATAAATAAATAAAGTTACATCACTAGTAATTTTTGAGAGCAAAAGCAGCAAATTAGCAAATTGCCCCTCGACTTGAGCAAACCATATTTCTAGCTCTTCTGGCCAAAACGGTGGACCTTTAATGACCTTTGATACCTCGGATGACGTGTCATCATGTACTATGACAGAGATGCCGCTCTCTGTCATATTCTCTTCTAAAAATCGTTGAATAAAAATGTCCGAAATGGAGTCACTAGTATAGTGGGTATGTGGATTTGATGATATATATATATATATATATATATATATATATATATATATATATATATATATATATATATATATACGACGATGCGAGAATATTTCTCGTAAACCTATTGTTAAAGACAAGAAGATTGTCAAGAACGTCACAATTAATTTTTTTAAAACTACGTAGACTTGAAATAGGTTGGTAACCTTTATATTATAAACATATAATTAGACTATTATAATAATACATACATACATACATATCCGTCACGCCTGTCTCCCATTAGGGTAGGCAGAAACAATGGAACGCCAAACGCTTCGATTCAAACAAACCTCTTTCGCTTCTTCCACATTCATCAATCTTTTCATATACGCTCGCCGGTTACGGGTACTTTTAATTTGGCCCTTCTTCAGCACGTCGCCTATTTGGTCAACATACGTCCGTAGAGCGGCCCCTACCGACATCTCCATTCATTCTTGCTCGATAAATCTCCTTCGTAATTCTTCTTTCATCCATCCTCTCCAAATGACCAAACCAACGCAACAATCCTTTTTCGATTTTTGTCACTACATCGTGTTTAAGTCCACACTTCTCTCTAATCACACTGTAATATATGTACACTATATACTTTATTATTCACTTTATATACACTTTAATATAGATAACACAGAGTGGCTTACCAGCTTTTTTTTTTTTGTTTTTATACAACTCAGAATAGCAGACAATCTGACGGCCCACCTGATGGAAAGTGGTAACTGTCGCCTATAGACATGAGCAGTACCATTGACATAACAGAGTATATTGTTTCGCCCATGATACCCCCCATGCGTTGCCATTCCTGAGGACTCAGGTGTTTTTCTGTACCCTGTAAATTCACGCCATATCCCACCCTTCAAACCGAAACACAGCCATGCGAACACAACTGCTTCACGGTAGAAACACGAATGGAACAGAAGTATCCAAGCAATCGACATTTGTACAATGATGATGAGAGATGGAATGGAAGTAGATAAATATTATACAATAGTACCGGGTCAACTTTAGGAGTATTTTGACGAAGACCAGACAGATATACACTTATTATTATACGATTTATGAAACACAATAGTATATGTTGACACACGCGTTTATTCAGTTTTTTCACGAGAAAGATGACGCATGATAACAGATGGTAGCCCTAGTAACCACTCATAGAGTTTTTACTAGTGCTGTCCAATCTTAATACACATGATATGTTAAATGTATGAATTATAATAAATATATAAAATACCATAAAAATTGTACACGGAAAGAAAGGACAATATTCCAAAACAATGGGCGGGCTTATCGCTAAGAGCGATCTCTTGCAGCCAACCTTTGGATGGAGAGGAGTAATTATAAACAGTTTGATCGGAGGCACGATGAAATTCTATTATTTCTAAAATATAGAGATGTGATACATGTAATAATGTAAAATATATATCCCTACTCGTTATATACATTTATATACTATTACATATATACACACACTATACACATACAACACTAGAAACTCTGTTTGTTTTATTAAATACATATAGATATATGCATACTACCGTGAAGAAGTTGTATTTACATGGCTGTGTATCGGTTTGAAGGGTGGAATATGGCAGTGAATTTACTGGGTACAAAGGAATAACATCTGAGTGCTCAGGAATGGCAACACATGGCGAATATCATGAGCGAAACAGTATACTCTGTTATGTTCACAGTACTGCTCATGTCTATAGGCGACGGTTACCACTTTCCATCAGGTGGGCCGTCAGCTTGTTTGCCATTCTAAGTTGTATAAAAAAAATTGTATACATTTTACCACATTTCAGGTATTGTATAAACAAAATGCTGTTAAAACTTCATATTATCGATAACTGATATTTATCGACACATTAACTTATCACATCACTAGTTCAAAAACCAGAATTACCGGTCCGGTGAGGTAATACAATTCTACAGTGCCTTTACATTACATAGACTCCCTTGCTCACCTTGATTTGTTTAACTGTATTAACACCCGTACCTATCGACTTTATGACCATTCTGTACTTATATATGTATAATTTACCTGAGGGAGACTGCCCAAAAGTCGTCTGCTTGGGTACCTCTATCCCATTCGTGTTTCTGTCGTGAAGCAGTTTGCATGGCTGTGTTTCGATTTAAAAGGTGTTTACTATACCATACAATATCGCACCCTTCAAACCGGGGGGGAAAGGGATTGTTAGTAATAGAGACTAAAAATCCCATTGCTAGCAATATACCCAACCAGGTCGACCTCCACGCGGTTCCCCCTGGAAACTATCAGGATTAATTCCTGATGAATTCATCATGCTGCATGGCTAACTGGCCTGTTTTCATTCTCATCTATCACCCTTCACTGGTGCTCCGCCAGCGTATCCCGTTAGCGCAAGCAGAGTTGCCAATCCATTTTCATCCAACAAAAAAAAAACCTTCAAACACAACTGCTTCACGGTAGAAACACGAATGGGACAATGGTACCCAAGCAATTGACTTCTTAATATAGAGATATGATACATGTAATAACGTGGATATATATATATATATATATATATATATATATATATATTAAGAGCGCTTTATAGTTTCCTTTAATTTTTAATGTGAATAATAAAATTATTTCACTGTATAAATAATCTTGCAAAAACCTGTAAAATTTTTTACGGAATCCGTAGGTTCCGAGGAACCCACTTTAGGATACGCTATTGTGTAGTATTAAATCCGCCTTTTGTACTAAATTTTTTTTTTTTGTAATGTAATCGATAAAAAATAAATAAATAAAATATATACAAACGCACAACGCCTTTGGCTAACCCTCTACATGAACACGCCATACCGCAATCCACAGTTAGACAGTCATACTGGCCCATTTTAATAATTTACAGAAATTGAATTGTGCTTTACCCACGCACCCTTCAATATTTCAATTCCAGACATTTGCAGCGATAAAGCCCGCCCGCTCCCGCCGTGCGAGCGTGAAGATACGGCGATAGTTCTAAAGTTTAACAATAGATGGAAGTCTGCGCGTGACGGGGGATTCTTTGATTTAGATAAGCGGACCTGTGAGCGATTGTCTCTGGTTGGGCGCCATCTTGTGAAATTTGGCGCTAAAATAAAGATTTCTTTTGATGCTTTTTTCATAACCTCAGACTACAACGTAATGATTACCTGCTCTATGGCTCTAAACTTTAAAATAGGGGAGAAAGGGATTGTTAGTAATGGAGACTGAGAATCCAATTGCTAGCAATATACCCAACCAGGTCGACCCCCTCACGGTTCTCCCTGGAAACTATCATAGTTAATTCCTGATGAATTCATCATGATGGGCTAACTGACCTGTTTTCATTCTCATGTATCACCTTTCACTGGTGCTCCGCCAGCGTATCCCGTTAGCGCAGGCGGGGTTATCATACCATTTTCACCCATTAAAAAGAAACTTTAAAATATATTCCAAGGGTAATACCTATATAGGTAGGTATACGTATTCAATACTGTATCGTTCCGCAATAAAGTGCAATAAATATGTAGTTAATATAGAATTAACCACGATTATTATGGACTTTCATCTGAGCATATTGTCACTATTGTAATTTGCCAGTCTGATTAGCATACTTAATTCTTTAGATACCTAACAATATCTTGTTGGGGGGAAAAGGATTGTTAGCAATGGAGTTTGACAGCCCCATTGCTAGCAATATACCTTATTAGGTCGACCTCCACGTGGTTCACTCTGGAAACCATCGTGAACAATTATTACTTATTGACTACCAATCCTATTGCTAGCAATATTCTTTCTTTTTTTCTCTCTCAAGCTTTCTTCCATCATACGGCTCGCCATCCACAGGGAGTTCATTCTCATGTCCTACAGCCTCAATGGTCGCGTACAACGCGGTTTCAGAGATGTTTCCTCCCACGAACACTCAGGTTATGGATATGAGCTCCCTGCCGAGGTTTTCCCAAGAGACTACAGCATGGGGTTCTTCAAAAGGGGGGTAAAGAGGTTTCTTCAGGGTTTTTTTATACAACTTAGAATGGCAAACAAGCTGACGGCCCACCTGATGGAAAGTGGTAACCGTCACCTATAGACATGAGCAGTACCATGAACATAACAGAGTATACTGTTTCGCCCATAATACCCCCCATGCATTGCCATTCCTGAGGACTGGTAACATTTCCATCGAGCCTCAGAACAAACTATAATTACTCCTCTCGATCCAAAGGTTGCCTGGAAGAGATCGGTCTTAGCGATAAGGCCTCCCATTGTTTTCTCACTGTGATCATTTCTTGTAATTGTTTGTATCTATAATAAGTTTACTGTTGTAATCTTATGGAGGAAGCAATAAAGAATCTATGGTTTCTATGGATAACCGTGTGTAAGTCGACTTTATATTGCTAGCAATGGAGCCATTTTCAACGCATAATAATGAAATGGTAACCCCAGTGAAAAGGTGCGCTATCGGTATACGCTGATGGGGCACCAGTGAGGGATGATAGGTGAGGATGAAAAGGTAGGTCAGTTAGCCCATCGTGATGAATACACTTGGAAATCATCACGGTGGTTTCCAGGGGGGACCACGCGTGAGTCGATTTTACAGGATATATTGCCAGCAATAGGACTGGTAGCCTGCATTGCTAGCAACCGCTCCCCTCCCCCCCACCACCACCAAACATGTTTAATAACGTAATAAATTAAACAACATATTTTTAAATACTTATTTATTAAGCAATAAATAAATTCATCAGTCTAACAAATAATAATTACTAAGAATGCTGTCGTTTATTTAACTGCTTTCGTAGCTGACTTGTGTACATTTCTATTTAGTTATTTATCACAATTTTAGTTTAACTCCAATGATTTCAACCATGACGGAATTTCCGGTTAGCAATTGTTAATTCACAGCAGCGATAATTGACAGTCTGCTGTCAATTTAATCGTCGCTGACTAGTAATTTGAACTTGTTGGCTATCGCTGTGGTCTCCGCTCGCTCGTCGCTGTCACTAGAATCGTCACAGTCCGCGCTGTCGTCACACGGGGACTCTGTTCGCTTCTCGTCATCAGAGTCTGACGATATCGGACCAGATTCGTCGTCATCAGTCAGTGCTTGCACCCATTTTATATATTTTATCTCTTCACTGGACGCGTAGGTGTCTGTAATAAATTGTTTAATTAAAAAAATTAATTCATATTAAGTAAGTATTGCATGTATGGTCCCGGCATAGAATGAGCCACCAAGGGGTGTTTCCCGTGGATGTCTTAAGAAGCGACTAAGAGAATTTAACAGTCAAGGGATAGGCAGCAGTGTCCCTCTTAAAGTATCACCAAAGCCTAACTGCGGTTGCCAATCCGCCTGCCAAGCGTGACAACTACTGGCAAAACCCCCCTAGGGGAGGCTTATGTTGAGCAGTGGACAGTTAAAAACTGGTATGACCTGAATGATAACAATACCAAAAAATAGATATTAATGCACATCAATTGCTTACTCCTCAAGCTAGAATCAGAAAGAAGAAGAAGAACAAGAAGTACCAGGCCACGAACATCTGAGGATACAATCCGGAACACCAAGAGCTGACCCTAGTCAGAAAGCTCCATTTTCAAAACTGTCTCAACTGGAACTGACGCCGGGATTTCATTTATGCAAAGCAACACGCTCACCACTGAGACAAGAAAATAAAAAATTAAAATACATAGGTACCTTGTTGTTCCGTATAGCCCGGCGGTCTTAACCATAGACAAATCTTGCCATCCAACGCCATCCTGAGCAAAGAGTTCGCAGCTCGATACGTGTCTAATCTGGAAGCGAAAATTTTTATCAAAAAACTTAAAAATTGAAAAAAAAATACAATTTTTTTATAACTTTTATTTTTAATTATTTTTTTAAATTCAAATAATCTTTATTCACATAGCAAATCTATTTTACTAGGTTTTTTTTATACAACTTAGAATGGCAAACAAGCTGACGGCCCACCTGATGGAAAGTGGTAACCGTCGCCTATATACATGAGCAGTACCGTGGACATAACAGAGTATACTGTTTCGCCCATGATACCCCCCATGCGTTGCCATTCCTGAGGACTCAGGTGTTATTCCTCTGTACTTTGTAAATTCACTGCTATATCCTAAACTTCAAACTGAAACAAACAAGAAATTTCAACCAAGCAGTATACTACCAGAGGGAGATTTTGTACAAAAGTCGATTGCTTGGGTACCTCTGTTCCATTCGTGTTTCAACCCTGAAACAGTTGTGTTTGCATGGCTGTGTTTTGGTTTGAAGGATAACACCTGAGTCCTCAGGAATGACAACGCATGGGGTGTATCATGGGCGAAACAGTATACTCTGTTATGTCCATGGTACTGCTCATGTGTATAGGCGACGGTTACCACTTTCCATCAGGTGGGCCGTCAGCTTGTTTGCCATTCTAAGTTGCATAGAAAAAAAGTATCATAATATATTAAAAATAATCATAAATAATAAAATAATAATCATGGAACATTTATGTTGTTTCTGTATATGTATAATATATATATATATATATATATATATATATATATATATATATATATATATATATATATATATATATATATATATATATATATATACATATATATATACATATATATATATATATATATATATATATATATATATATATATATATATATATATATATACATATATATATATATATATATATATATATATATGTATATAGTAAACCAACCTGGCAGCTTTAGCAGTGAGGTATCCTTTCTTCTTGGCCCATCCATCACAAATATCCCTCGGGGACCACGTGTCGTCATTCTCGGGGTGGTCTATCCTTAACAAACTCGGCAAGTCTAGCCTTTCCGCCAAATACCTGAAAATTATTGACAAAAGTATACATAAAGCATCCATTATATTTTAATATTATAACTACCGGTTTAATTTACGTGTAGGGGGGAAAGAGAGAGAATCCCAAACACGTGTGGGACATTTGTACCCAGGCTGACGACTGTTGCAGTCTCCCTCTTGTTGACTGATATGTGCTACATAAACTTTCCATACTCACCTAACAGTTGTGTATGGTTCTCTCAACTGCGCAATGGGATATGATCCCATGAGGATTTGTACGGGACGTGGCACCTTCGATGGGAACACTAACCCTGGACAATCGCAGAGGCGAACCTGAAAATTAAGAATTGATAATTAAAGATATATATATATATATATATATATATCTCAAAAAAAAACCATCTGGACGAGTGACGGTCCTCCACCGTGCGTTTTTCACGCACTTTCTCCCACGCACAACCACTCTTTGGAATCAACTTCCAACAGCAGTATTTCCGAATCGATACGACATTGTAACCTTTAAGAAAAGAGTATATTCCTTTTTAAAAGGCCGGCAGCATGCCTGCAATGCCTTTAGTGTTGTGAGTGAGCATGGGCGGCGGTAGTCACTTACCATCAGGTGAGCCGCATGCATGTTTGCCCCCTGTGTTGTAAAAAAAAACTTCCAGAATGAAAAAACCATTTATTTCGATATAAAAACAAAACTACTAAACTGATTTTAATAAAAAATCCACAGAACCAATCTGTAAATATATCCTTTTAGATGAAAAAAGAATTATCCAAATCGGTTCACAACTGACAGAGTTATGAAGTAACAAACATAAAGGAGAAAAAATTTAAGCAAATTGAAAATCTGCATCTTTTGAAAGGCACACGGACACTTTAATCACCTGGCCCAACGAAAAGCATACATCTGCATTTATAAAAAAAAGACGATTTAAAAGTGCTTTTTTTTTATGGGTGAAAATGGTATGGTAGCCCCGCCTGCGCTAACGGGATACGCTGGCAGAGCACCAGTGAAGGGTGATAGATGAGAATGAAAACAGGCCCGTTAGCCCATCATGATGAATTCATCAGGAATTATCCATGATAGTTTCCGGGGGGAACCGCGAGGAGGGCGATCTGGTTGGGTATATTGCTAGCAATGGGATTCTCAGTCTCCATTACTAACAATCCCTTTCCCCTCATTTAAAAATGGGGGAGGTATCATGTTCAAAATGGACATACTCTGTTATGTCCATGGTACTGCTCATGTCTATAGGCGACGGTTTTCGACGGACCACTTTCCATCAGGTGGGCCGTCAGCTTGTTTGCCATTCTAAGTTGTATAAAAAAAAAACTAACTCCCATAACGTGATAAAATAAAAATATCGCTGAGTGGAACATGGCCGAATGACGCAACAAGTCGTTGGTTAAAAACATTATTACCTGTTTGGTTAAATAAATGGTTTGGAAGTGCTTCGTGTGGCCTGGGGTCTTGGAGACGGAGACCACCTTCTTGCCCATGATGGCGTTCATGAGGGACGACTTGCCAACGTTGGGCTGGCCCACGCAGCCTATTGTTAGCACGCCGTTCTTATATCTCTCGTGTTTGTAATACGTCGTGTCGGCTTTCTCTAGTATTGTTTCGCCTAAAAAAAAATAATGGAAAATTATAAAAAACAAAAAAAAACCGTCAAAAAATCACCTATTTTTTTTTTTAAGAAATAACTACAAATTTATAGTTTTTGGATTTTTCCCTTTACTTGTCCTACATAATATTGCTTCTTGCCAAATTTCATAATTCTAAGTCAACGGGAAGTACCCTATAGGTCTTGATTACCTTTGCGTATGTCCAAAATATGCGATATAAATGGTACATAAACGGCCGTATCTTTTGATTGCGTCGATTTAGAAGCTTAATAGTTTCACTGCTTTAAGAGATTACAGATCTGAGTATGTGATATTAATTTCAACTTGATACCTCCAGGCGTTCCTAAGAAAAAAGGTCTTGATGGACGGACGGACAGACAACGAAGTGATCCTATAAGGGTTCCATTTGTTCCTTTGGAGTTACGGAACCCTAAAACTCACTGTTCATGTTCACTTTTTGATGGTACTCCCATTCAAGATTTCTCAATATACGAAGTTACGAGACAACAAACAGTCAAAAAATCTGTATGCAGGTGCCCTGAAAACGGCGCTGGTAGGAGAGGAGGGCAGCTACAATAATAAAATAATATTAAGAGAGGCTTACCAGTATAATTTCTTAGACAATCACAATCTAACAATATAACAATAATAATAATATGTCACTCAAATAGAAAAACAAAATAAGTATCAAAAAGACATATTCATAATATAAAAATATAATGCTAAAAAGGTAAATTATATAAAAAGAGGTCTGTCGCCAACATGCCCCAAGACTGTTCCTTATGGCAGTCTATGTAAAACTGCTTAATTTTAAGTTTTTTTTTAAGCAATTTAAAATGGCAAACAAGCCTACGGCCCACCTAATGGAGAGTGGTAACCGTCGCCTATAGACATGAGCAGTACCATGGACATAACAGAGTGTACTGTTTCGCCCACGATACCACCCATGCGTTGCCATTCCTGAGGACTCAGATGTTATTCCACTGTACCCTTTAATACTATACTGTAGATATAATAATAAATATAGTAACTTGCCTACTTCGGTCTGCTCATCTTCCCCCAGCTCGAGCTCAGACTCCTCTCTGATCTTCCTCTCCCAAGATGTGAGATCCACTTCAGAGCCAACTATACTCTTGCATGCTTCCAGGATCTTGGTGGCTCCTTCTGCACACATCCGTTGGCGGCCCTTCCTCCGCCGTACTTGTAGACCTAGTATACATTTATTTATTTATATTTTTTTTATACAACTTAGAATGGCAAACAAGCTGACGGCCCACCTGATGGAAAGTGGTAACCGTCGCCTATAGACATGAGCAGTACCATGAATATAACAGAGTATACTGTTTCGCCCATGATACCCCCATGCGTTGTCATTCCTGAGGACTCAGGTGTTATTCCTCTATACCCTGTAAATTCACGCTATATGGGATATAACCCTTCAAAGCGAAACACAGCCATGCAAACACAACTGCTTCACGGTTGAAACACGAATGGGACAGAGGTACCCAAGCAATCGACTTTTGCACAAAGTCTCTCTCTGGTATTCTTCAGTATCTTATTGTAGCATTTATTTATTTATTTATATGTTTTTGTATATTCACTTTTAGTATAGATATTAGGTTATAACAAAAATACACAGGCGGACTTATAGGGATTTCTTATAGGAATTGAAGGGATTTCTTCCAGTCAACCTTGAGAACACGAGAGGAGAAAATATCTATAGGGTTTGTATATAAAGCATAACATATATGGTGCAAAAATAATAATATATTATTCTTTTACCAGCCATTAACTGTCCACTGCTGGACACAGGCCTTTCCCATAAGGGGAGATTTACCAGTAGTTGCCACGCTTGGCAGGTACGTTTTTTCTTTTTTTAATGGGTGACAATGGTATGGTAATCCCGCCTGCGCTATCGATATACACTAGCGGGGCACCAGTGAGAGGTGACTGGTGAGGATGAAAGCAGGTCAGTTAGCTCATCCTGACGAATTCAACTAGAATTAACCACGATGGTTTCCAGGGGGAACCACGTGGAGGTCGACCTGACAGGGTACATTGCTAGTAATGGAAATTATTTATTTTTTGACCCCATTACTAACAATGCCTTTCCCCCCTGGCAGGCATGTTAGCAACTGCTGCTAGGATTTAGAAATGTTTTAAGAGAAACACTGTTGCCCATCCCTCGACCATCAAGTTAGGACTTAGGAAAGGAAGTGGTGACCCATTCTATGCTGGGACCACATGACAATTGAATTATACTTGTTCCATGCCACTAGGCTAATAGGCTAAATTAAAAAAAAAAAACGTACCAGCTTTGTCCTTGGTGAAACCTCTCAAGTTGTACCCTGGGCACGAAGTGAAATACACCACGTGGAGTCCAGGGCAGGTTCTGGTGAAGTAGTCCTGCCAGGCTGCCACCACAGCGGCTGGGACCAGGTCGATCTTGTTGAGTACCAGGATCATATTCTTCTTCTGTTCTTTCACCACATACTCGTACAGTGATGGAGGGAACATCATACCCTGGAGGGTTAAACTTACGTTACAAATTACTTCACCATAGCACAACCTTCGTCTCAAATTTCCCACTCACTCCACTTCCTTTTATTCTAATTCCTTTACTATGCAGGCAGTTCGCCTGTGGAACTCACTACCTACCTCTATTCGGTACGCTCAATCTCTCGCTAGCTTCAAAACCTCTGTTAAATCCCATTATCTCTCCCTTTAACTACTATTTTCCCGTGTTCCATCTCCATCTTCCAGTGTCACTCTCTCCTGTTGTATGTGTGCTTTTAAGTTTGTGTATGTTTATGTATGTATTTGTTTATGTATATATACATGTATATGTAAATATCTTTTTATATATTTGTTTATATATAATAGTGCGCCACCTACCCTTTGTCTTTTCTCAATGTCCTCTACCCAAAGGTTGTCTGGAAGAGATTGTTCAGCGATAAGGACGCCTTTTGTATCATTTCTTATTACAGTTTCTTATTGTTCTAAAATGTATTTACTATTTTATAAATGATGCAATAAAGTATAAATAAATAGCACCACTCGCCATCGGCAGGGAATTTTTTTTTAATGGGTGATAATGGGATGGTAACCCCGCCTGCGCTATCGGTATACACTGGCGGGGCACCAGTGAGGGATGATATGTGAGGATGAAGCAAGTCAGTTCGCCCATCACTTTGTTCAGTTCGCACTCAACAAGAATTGTTCACGATGGTTTCCAGGGGAAACACGTGGAGGTCGACCTGATAGGGTATACTGCTAGTAATAAGGCTGTTAAACTCCATTGCTAACAATCCCTTTCCCCCGGCAGGGAATCTTAGAACCATAATGGCCGCACATAGTGCGGTTTCAGAGAGCGTCCTGCTGAAGCTTTCCCTAAAGTCGTTTGCTTGGGTACCTCTGTCCCATTCGTGTTTCAACCATGAAGCAGTTGTGTTTGCATGGCTGTGTTTCGATTTAAAGGGTGGTATATGGCAGCGAATTTACAGGGTACAGAGGTATAACACCTTAATCCTTAGAAATGACAACGCATGTGGGGTATCATGGGTCCATAAGGTGGATCGTCAGCTTGTTTGCCCTTCTAAGTTGCACAGAATATATATATATGCAACATAAGACTCCCCATAAGGGGAGTTTTACCAATAGTTGCCATTCTGGGCAGGTGGCAGATAGTGTAGTGTATACTTACAGCATATCTGATGTCCACTATGAGCAGAAGCACGTCACACATCTCCAGCACCCTCCACAGCTGCCGCCACGTCTCCAAGTTCAACTCAAAGTAGGAGACGTCCTTCCAGTGCTCTGATGATTGTATACTGTCCACGTAATTCTGTCAATAAATCGTTTATTTATTTGATAGACAGCATCGTCGTAAGAGAATTTGATTCCCAGATTCATCAGAGGGGCTGTATGATTGTTTGCCACCTTGCTGTATAAAAAAAAATAATTCAAATGGACAAAGCTGCGAGAAACAACTAGTTTAAAATATGAACAAGTAATATTTACCTTGAAATATCTCTGTTCCTGACAATCTAACTGTACAGGGGTCATGTTGAAGTCCCATGGTGGGCGTTTGGGGAATGTGAGGTCGGCCGGGAAGTAATCTGATGGGTCCACCTCCATCTCCTTCTCCGGAATGGGGTTTAAAGAATGCCTGAAAATGATTACAACTTTATTTGTAATTTGTAAAATTTGTAATTTTTAATATCATATTCATATTTATATTTCTTTATTAACCAATGTATAACAGTTTTCGTCACACAATGGCAAGTCAATATTTACATTATAATTTTGAAATTAATAAAATAAATAATAACAATAAGATTTAAATTATAAATTATTTTATTTATTTATTTATTTATTTAACACTTTATTGCACCAACATAACATGATTTGTTAAAACAATTTTCAATACGTATAGTGTAGTACAAAAGGCGGTCTTATTGCTAAGCAATCTCTTCCAGACAACCTTTGGGTGGAAAGAATTAAAGCATAAATAGGTAGGTGGCGCGTTAAAAAAGATAGATTTGTAAAAAATAATATTTGTGACAGCATAGTCATATACATATACATACATAAATAAACACATACAACCAAACATATACATATATATACATACACATACACATATAAATATATATACATACATATACATATATACGCATAAATACATATAAATATACCATATTAATACACATATATATAACACACTAAACTGGAAATACGTAGGACTAAGTGATTATAAGGATAGGTAGTGGGCTTTAACTAAGTTTTTAAAAATGGGCAACGATTGAGCGCACCGTATAGAGGTAGGGAGTGAGTTCCACAAACGAACTGCTCGCACGGAAAAGGATTTGGAGTAGAAAGAGGAAGAATGAGTGGGAATTGTGAGTTGGAGGTTGTCAGTACTACGTAAAGAATAAGAATTGCTCTCTCCAAGAAACATAAAACGTTCTTTTAAATAATGAGGTGTAACTGGATTAAAGAGAATTGAGTAAAGAAGGCAAAGGATGTGCCAGTTACGACGAAGACGGATAGAGAGCCACTTGAGTCGTGTACGATATTGGGATACATGGTCATATTTGCGAAGTCCAAATATGAACCGTATACATAAATTTTGAAGACGCTCAAGTTTATTTAACTGCTCTTCAGTGACATTTGAATAACAGGAATCGGCGTAGTCAAGGATGGGGAGGAGCAATGTATGAGCAAGCGCAATTTTGGTATCCATAGGAAGAACCTTACGCAACCTGTAAAGGGATCCAGTTGCCGCAAACATCTTCCTGCTAATCTCAGCAATCTGAGGTGACCAGGATAAAGTACTATCAAAACAAATGCCGAGATTTTTAACGCGGTCGCTGTAGTTTAACTTCATTCCATTAAAAACTACAGAAGGAAGGTCATTCAAAGCCACTCTGGAAATGTAACTAGGGCTACCTATGATTATAACCTGGGTCTTGGTGGGATTTACAGCAAGACCATAGGATTTGCTCCAGACAGATATACGTTCAAGGTCTTCGTTTATTGTATTTACTGCAACAGAAATATTAATAAGAGGAGCCCGGCAGTAAATTTGAAGGTCGTCTGCATAAAGATGGTAGGAAGACCGAAGCTGAGATGTGATATTGTTGATAAATAAGGCAAATAAAAGAGGAGATAAGACGCCACCCTGGGGCACGCCCGCAGATGTACTGCACCAAGATGACAAAGAGTCGTTGATACGAATACGCTGCCGACGTCCAACCAGGTAACTACGAAACCATTCAATTGCCGTTGGAGATATGTTGAGAGAAGTCATCAGTTGCAACAAAATGTCGAAATCGACGGTATTAAAAGCATTACTGAAATCTAATAATGTTAAAACTGTCAGCTCTGAGCTATCCATTCCGAAACGGATATCATCAGAGATCTTTACAAGAGCAGTAGTCGTGCTGTGACCTGCGCGGAAACCAGATTGCAAAGGATTAAGAAGGTTATTTTTGGACAGAAACAAGTAAAAAGTAAATTATAAAATAAAATTACAAATGAATTACAGTTAACATTATAAATTAGTTACTACATGTCAATATAATGGTAACTACATACCAATAATGATGACATCAAGTTATAAAATTTGAATTGTCACACTTCTTACAGTTAAACGTAAATAAATAAAAAATGCTATATATCAATCTAATACTGAGTCAACCTGGTAGTCACAATGCAAAACGCCTATATCTGTTAGTAAAGGGTAAATGTCTCTCTGATAAACTGACACACTGACTTTCAGACATACCCTATGAAGCTGGCATAATCACCCAGGTGTACTGAAGCCTCAACAAAAATTAGAATAAAAAAAAATATTATTGGTGAGCACAATTTATTTGAAAACATTGTAACAATGAAAAACTGGTATGAATGGGATGGATGATCGGGAAGGATAAATGACAAAATAAATATATTACTGAATAAAAAATCAAAAAAAGGTATACAAACTGGAAATTAATATCAGGGGACCTACCATGAAATGAAATTCCGAATTTTCGGGCTTAAATTCGTGTTTTTGTCCGTACCTAAATCGACCCAATAAATGGAGCTTAATGTTTGATTCATAATAAATCCTATCCTAATAGTCTAGGGAGATTTTAATATTTTTAATAATTTTAAAAAGGTAGGCCCTCTGGTCATATGCATGCTCCTTCGAGAGCCATTATAAAAAAAAAAAAAGAAAAAACAATGAAAAACTATAAATGGTCAAATATTGAAAGCAAAAAGGAAATATAATTAATAATTAAAGATTGTATGTCACAGAAAAAAGCTACTTCAAATGTGACTAAACTTTTAATGTAAAAACTAAACCACTGAACAGATTTTGATAAAATTTCTACAAGACCAATCTGTATGCCCTTTCAGGTAAAAGAACAATTTTCCAAATTTTAAATGATAAATTTGAAAAATTTTAAATGATGCTAAAAAGAAACAAAAAGCCATTATAAAAGAGAAGCTTTTAGTTTAAACATATCTTAAATCTTTGCTACTTTAATATAAACTTGCCAAATGGCAAACAAACTGACGACCCACTTGATAATAAGTGGTAACAGTCGCCTATAGACATGAGCAATACCATGGACATGGAGTATACTGTTTCGCCCATGATACCCCCCATGCGTTGCCATTCCTGAGGACTCAGGTGTTATTCCTCTGTACCCAGTAAATTCACACCATATCCCACCCTTCAAAAACTGGCAAAACACAGCTATGCAAACACAACTGCTTCACGGTTGAAACATGAATGAGACAGAGGTACCCAAGCAATCAAATTTTGTGATAAGTGGTAACAGTCACCTATAGACATGAACAGAACTGTGGGCATTGGAGAATACACTGTGATACCCACGGTATTCCACATGTGTTTCTAATAATGTCATGCCTTGTGTATTTAATTCCATTCTAATCTGTTTGACTAGATCCTGTTAAGAGATCATTGACTTACAGTGCCTCTTCCTTCTTAATCTTCATCTCCTCATCTGTTTCCCGGTAGAACTTGAGTGCGTACCGGTTGCTGTCGCCCCTCCCTCTCTGGCCCTTACTCGGCTGATAGTTCATTGACACCATATCATATGCATTGGATACTGATGATGCTGGTTTAAGGACAAAAACAATAATTAAAATATATACAAAAAAAAATATTAAAAAATAATAAAAAAGGTCAACAAGTAAAAAAAAGAAAATAATGGATTCCTGTATTGTGCCAAGTTAAACTTGGCAGAATACAGGAATCGATCGATGGTGTAGCGAAGATCACCGCTACCATGTACGCCATCAATTTAGTCTCCATTCTAAGCTGCATTTTTAGCTAGTTTACATGGAACTAATATAAAAAATGAAAATTTTTACTAACATTGCCAGTTAAATAAATACGGGTTTAAACTCAAAATAAAGCACTCACTCGACATAAGCAGAGTTCTATCTTGTTTATTCTTCTTTAACTGCATCTGCTGCTTCTTCGCTTTCCCGCTGAAAGGTACTTTGCGTCGATGTTGGGGCATTTTTAACCTGTTTAAAAAGTTTATTTAAAATTTTATATCATACGAGACTGTGACATAAATACAAAGAAAAATTATCTCATTCGTACTGATAATAAGTGCAGGAGGTAAATTAAGTTAATTATTAAATAACATACGACTTTTAGAATATGCAAAATTAAGTTTCAAATTTACAACGTCTCAACGACAATTAAATACTTACTGCAATTATTATTCTAAACAAAGGTATTCGAAATAAAATATAATATTAGAAATGAATAACTTTCTACAAGTTTTTACAAGTTTCAAGGTAAATTTGGAAAAATTTCATTTATTTAGCAAGAAAACGTGATTCGCAGTAAATATAATAACATACCGCAGTACAGTGACAAATTTGACGTTAAAATTTTTTTTTTTTTTTCTTTTTTTTTTGTGGACGTTAAAATTGGTATATCGACTTGACTGAATTTGACATCAATAGAGATGTCTTCATGTTGAAAAGCAGTTTATTTATATCGATATCGATCAATATCATTAAATAAGATTTTCGAATTACGAACCTTTTATACATGAATCTGTCATAAATAATCGTAAAAATATCGACCGATTAACATTGAAGAAAAGAAGAAGAGGAGATAGAGAAGGAAGGAGTCAAGTATTACTGTGAAGGGTTCGTTGGATAAAACAATAAAAATATGAGAGACTGAATAAAGATATATAATTTTGTTCCCTAGTACAAAAATAGATGTTTTAAAAGGTAATGACGTTTCTCTAATTTTTATTGTTTTATCCAACGAACCCTTCACATACTGGCGACCGTGACAGGACACGAACCTGCAATCTTCGGATGTGATGTATGTGAAGGGTTCGTTGGATAAAACAATAAAAATATGAGAGACTGAATAAAGATATATAATTTTGTTCCCTAGTACAAAAATAGATGTTTTAAAAGGTAATGACGTTTCTCTAATAAACAAAATACTCAATTGACATAACAAGAAAAAATAATAAATTCTATCTTTAAAAATAATTTAAATAAAACCTCAACAATTACGTAATGCAATGCTCGATGCGTTGCAGGAGTAGAAGGGGGATAGAACAACGTGTTTGTAACATTATTTATTTTTATTTAAAACTAGATAATTAAAATGTTCCAAGTTGGCAAACCGTTTTGTTAGCAAACGTCATTTTTATTTTCTTTTTGGTGTCAGTATTCATCAGTGTTATGACTTTTAGTTAAAATAATCAAGTGAGTATTACATAATGTTTATATACAAAAAATCTTGAGAAAATGCATTACGTAATACTTGAACATTCCTAGAATATCCAAAAGGAAATCCAAATCCATAGTGTGCAGGAACAATTATATATATGCATTAGAAATATAATATTAAATTTACATATTCTATCAAATTTATTTCATTAATAAGTAAAAGATATTTGTTTATAAAATACATAAACTACAGTTGTGTCAAAGTTAGATAAAATATTTTTATTTTTAGAGAATTATATTGTAAGTTTATACGTCGTAAATAATATAGGAAATTGGTAGTAGCACTCACCAGTATTAAGCAACGCCGGGATCAGGATCAGTGTTAAGGAAAACCAGGACTAGGATTTTGGTTACCTACACTAGTTAATATTAGTCAGTTAGAAAGTTCAGTCAATGTTCATAGTATGTAAGACAAAAGGGTAATCCGTCATTTTTATTCTAATATTATTTTTCTTTATTTTACATTGACAAGCGCTGCTAGAATGCATATCGCCTGCCATTGAATCAAGGAGGTTCTTAACAGTAAAGAATTTTGAAGCTTATATCGATCACATAAACTAATATTACAATAATAAACGAGGTATCAATAAAAAATAAATCTAGTTGACTGCAGAAAGAATTTTTAAAAATAATTGAAAATTAACAACATAATTAAATAATGTGCAAATCATATCAAATACTTTCTTTTTTAAAAAAATATCAATAATATTTAGATCGACTTGTGTTCTTTCTTTTTAAAATTACTATTCGGTCTTTTCTCTTTGCAAGAGAGAAAAATTTTCAATATTACTAAATTGTTGTAATACCATAAAGATTTCTGGAAATATTAAAGCATTTGAGGTATTAGCAGAATGTTTTGTCAATAAATAAATATCGATATTTAGTTTTATTTTGCGCATTCCTAGGGTAAATTGACAAACGAAAAAACTGCCAAAGTGAGTCCTGTCTATAGAAATAGGTCTTTTTTAATGCCTTTTTAAATGTAATTATTAAGTATATTCCTTAGAAAATATTTATTTATGAATATATTAAATATTTAATTAAAAATTCCATAATTTTTTATTTAGTAAAAACTTTACTATAGCTCATTAGTATGGTAATGTCTCTGAAAATAATAAATGACCACAATAATCACTCAATTGAAAGACGTCAATATAAAATACCTTAACCTAAAAATTGACATTGACTTTTTTACCTTCCTAACAAAAGTGTTTATGTTTATAAGAAATATAAAAAAGTCAATACTACACCGGAAAAATAATAGCGTAAAGTATTAGAATTAATTATGTTGCCTCTATCGCTTTTACGAACCGCGCAAAACCATCCTATGCTGGTGGAATTAAAGAATGGGGAAACATACAACGGACACTTAGTTAGTTGCGATAATTGGATGAACATCAACCTCAGAGAAGTGATTTGCACATCAAGAGACGGCGATAAGTTCTGGCGAATGCCGGAATGTTATATACGCGGGAGTACGATAAAATATCTTAGAATTCCAGATGAAGTTATCGACATGGTCAAAGAGGAAACTCAAGTGAAAGCACGAGGACGCAGCGAGATTAACAAGGGCCGCGGTGGTCAGAACATGAGATCTGGACGTGGTGGCGCTAGAGGCGCTTTCGGTAACCGCGGCAGACCGGCACCATTGGCGCGCGGTGGCGGGAACGTGGGAAGAAATCCACAGAATAAAAATAAGAAATAAACATAGAAATAATGTAATTTATTTAAATAAATTAAGTATTTTTTATAAGTCAATTTATGTTTTGTTATTTTAAGCCATTAATATTGTATATCTAAAAAAAAATACAACTATGCAACCAATTTTGATAAAGGGGGAAAGTGATTGTTAGTGATGGAGACTGAGAATTCCATTGTTAGCAATATACCCGACCAGGTCGAACTCCTCGCGGTTCTCCCTGGAAACTATCATGGTTAATTGCTAATGAATTCATCATGATGGGCTAACTGGCCTGTTTTCATTCTCATCTATCACCCTTCACTGCTGCTCCACCAGCGTATCCCTTTAGTGCAGGCCATAGCCAGGTTTACCATACCATTTTCACCCATAAAAAAAAATACAATACCGAAATGAGGTTGCCTGGTTATCATCATATGACCATCTAATATTGATGGTGTCGAAATGGATAATGACCCTTTTCATACCGTCGATGTCCAGTGAAATATACAATAAATATATATATATATACCAGAGGGAAACTTTGTACCAAAGTCGTTTGCTTGGACACCTCTGTCCTATTTGTGTTTCTACTGTGAAGTAGTTGTGTTTGCATGGCTGTGTTTCGGTTTGAAGGGTGGGATATGGCAGTGAATTTACAGGGTACAGAGGAATAGCACCTGAGTCCTCAGGAAAGACAATACATGGGGGGTATCATGGGCGAAACAGTATACTATAACATGATGATGATGGACATAAGTCCATGGTATTGCTCATGTCTATAGGCGACGGTTACCACTTTCCAGCAGGTGGGCCGTCAGCTTGTGCGCCGTTTTAAGATGTATAAAAGAAATATAAAATATATTCATATAGAGGGTCCTTCTTTTTGAAGTCAGTTAAAAAAGTCGTATGCTTGGGTACCTCTGTCCAACTTGTGTTTCTATCGTCAAACTGCACTTGTATGACCGTGTTTCGGTTTGAAAAGTGAGATATAGCAGGGAACATACAGAGTACGGACGCATAACACCATAGTTCTCAGGAATGCAAACTCTTGAGGAATACCATAAGTCGCAATATAGTTTGTTAAGTTCAGTGTTAGGTCACAGTGTTGAACATTTTTGTAGGTGACGGTTACCATCTCCATCTCTGCATCAGGTGGCCCATCAACTAGTTACCTTATTTTTGAGTCTTATAAATACTCAGGCTACAGTGACCATTTACCATTAGAAAAGCTGTATGCACATTGGCCGCCATTGGGGCCAATATACATACAGCTCAATACAGCCTCTCCATTTTATAATTGAGAGGTTTGTTTGAATCGAAGCATTTGGCGTTCCATTTTTTCTGCGTACCCTAATGAGAGACAGGCGTGATTGTATGCAGATATGTATGTATGTGGCATAAAATAATATAAAAAAACAGCTGATCTGTTTATGAATTTTTATATACAAGTGAATTATTAAAATAAACTTGCCCTTAACTTTGTTTATTTGACGTTTATTATTAGTGATAAATTGCAATTTGCAAATCACGCAGTCTTCGACTGTGAAATAAGTGAACATTCACAATTTGTTTTATTTCAACCAAGATGTTATGTATATTTTAATTTGAGTAAGTTTGGAGAGAATAAATATATATATATATATATATATATATATATATATATATATCTTTCGTCCTCTTTTTACTAATTATATTTACATAAGAAGAAAGAAGACACCCATATGATTCACAGTTTTTATTTTATCATTCCTTCTATGTAATCCCTTGTTCTTAGAATCTAAAGGTAACGCATTATAGATGTATTTTTTTTTTAATAATTGGAAATAAGTTCCAGATCAATGAAACAAAATTTAAGTTTATAAATTTTATTACATAATTATGACTTTGTATAAAAAAAAATATCTTGACTAAACTTAAATATAGTTATAAATTAAAAATACTTTAATATTATGGCATATTTTGTTCTTAAAATTCATGATTATACATAATTAACTATTCGAGTACCTCGACTTCATGTATATAATAGATAGTATTTATATTATATACAGAATGTCCCAAATTCGAAGTTAAAAATGAAAACTACACAAGTATACAAATAATATAGTTGAAACAATTTGTCCAACTAAATGAGACATCCTATATATGATTGGGAGGGAAAGGGATTGTTAGTAATTGGCTCTAACAGCCCCACTGCTAAGAGACTACAGCATGGGGTTCTTCAAAAGGGGGGTAAAGAGGTTTCTTCAGGGTCGGCAAACGCGCGCGTAATACCTCTGGTATAGCAGGCGTTCATAGGCTACGGTAACCGCTTACCATCAGGTGGGCCGTATGCTTGTTTGCCACCTCAGTGGTATAAAAAAAATACCCTAATTTCTTTTTTAATAGGTGATAATGGAATGGTAACCCCGCCTGCGTTAACAGTATACGCTGGCGGGGCACCAGTGAGGGATGATAGGTGAGAATGAAAAGGCAGGTCAGTTAGCCCATCGTGACGAATTCCACTAGAATTAACCACGTTGGTGTACAGGGTTCCTCCCTGTCGCGTGATAGGCTGCTATATTGCTAGCAATGGGTCAATTAGAACCCATTACTAACAATCCCTTTCCCCCTAATATAACCTATTGGGGGGAAAGAGATTGTTAGCAATGGGATCAAATAGCCCCATTGCTAGCAATATATCCTGTCAGGTCGGCCTCCACGCGGTTACACTTGAAAACCATCGTGGCTAATTCTAGTTGAATTCATCAGGATGAACTAACTGACCTGCTTTCATCCTCATCAGTCATCTATCGCTGGTGCCCCGCCAGTGTATACCGATAGCGCAAACGGGGTTACCATACCATTATCACCCATAAAAAAATGCCCTATCAGGTCTATCAACATGCGGTTTCGCCTGAAAACTTGATTTATACTACATTTGGACATCAGCGGACTGTCTTATGGTATTCATTTGTTTTTAATAATGCAGATATTTTATTATACATTTTTACCAGAGGGAGACTTTGCACAAAAATCGTTTGCTTGGATACCTCTGTCCCATTCGTGTTTCAACCGTGAAGCAGTTGTATTTGCATGGCTGTGTTTCGATTTCAAGGGTGGGATATGGCAGTGAATTTACAGGGTACAGAGGAATAACACCCGAGTCCTCAGGAATGGCAACGTATGGGGGGGTATCATGGGCGAAACAGTATACTCTGTTATGTGCATGGCACTGCTCATGTCTATAGGCGACGGTTACCACTTTCCATCAGGTGGGCCGTCAGTTTCACAATTAAACAACATTCTGTATAATAGCTACAGGGTGTACCGGTGCGATGGTGTTAGATACGCTCTGTTGGAAATAGTGCATGCGGTTCGCCAGATCGATTCCTGGGTAGGTCTCCTCTTTCTTCGGAATTGGCTGCGCTCGAGGTTGATGTAACTGGAAATAAAAAAATTAAAAAAACTAATTCTCGTTACTAGCAATCCCTTCTCTTCTGTAGAAATAGACGTTATGAGAGAACAGATGAACATACATACTAGGGGTAGGTAATATATAGCAATAGGGGGGAAAGGGATTGTTAGCAATGGAGTTTGACAGCCCCATTGCTAGCAATATGCCCTGTCAGGTCGACTTCCACGGGGTTCCCCCTGGAAACCATTGTGAACAATTCTTGTTGAATTCGTCACGATGGGCTAACTGACCTGCTTCATCCTCACCTATCATCCTTCACTGGTGCCCCGCCGGTGTATACTGATAGCGCGGGTGGGGCTACCATTCCATTATCACCCATAAAAAAAAAACTACTTAAGTAGTAAATTCCAGTATTTTTTTAAACTTACGATCGTAACTTAATACTCTCCAACTATCTATCCTCTCTCACCGTACTGGTTTCGCTTCAAACTCTTTTCTCCTACATTCTTCACGACTCTGGAACGCGCTTCCTGATGCCATTAAAAGACTACCGACTAAACCGTCTTTTAAAAGAAACGTTCACGCTCACTTTTTTACTTTAACCAAGCAGTAAGTATTTTATATTATTCTCAATTTCGTGTATAATATTCAAAAATTCAAAATTCAAAATTCAAAAATCATTTATTCATGTAGGACATTTTAGCCGCTTATGAACGTCAAATTTTTACATTATAATTTTATATTTTCCCTACCGTCCAGTTCGGTATATAGATCCAATTGAGAAGAACTGGCAAGAAACTCAATTGAATTACTTTTTTTTTAAAGCCAGTTTATTTACAATGTATATTTATATAGGTGTCTATGTCTAACATTAAATGAAAATTCAGTGCATGAACAACTATTGCCATGCACACTCGTCATTCAAGTAATCGTTTAGTGAGTAATAGGCTTTGCTCAGTAAATATGATTTAACAGATGTTTTGAATTTATTTAAGGGTAATTCCAACATATCCTTTGGTATCTTATTGTAAATTTTTATACCTATTCCCATAAAAGACCTATTAACTTTTTCTAAACGATACTTGGGGACAGCAAGTTATATATATAGTATATGTCATATATGTGTAAGTATATTTGTTATTTATATATATCTATTCGTTTATATATATGTAATTTTAGTATGTATGTATATCAATAATTACTAGTACCGCATTCGAGTATTCTGACACTTCCCTATGGTTGACTGGGAGAGAATGCTTCTAGCATTAAGTCCACCATGTACACATATATGTACTAATGAATAAATAAATAAAATAAATTACCTTTCCCCGTTTGTTTTCGTGCATTATCTTCACGTGCTTGTAAATAGATGTCTGCCAGGTGAATGTGGCTGGGCACAGCTTGCATTTGAAACTCTTTGTCGTGGACCGGTTGGTGTGCATTGCCCATACGTGGCCTTTCAACCGTTTCACAGTCTGCAAACAAATAGAAACATATAAATAAAACTAGCGGCCCGTCCCGGCTTCGCACGGGTGAGCATTTTTACAAAATAAAAAAAGTGGTTATTGTGACATAACGATAATAGTTGGACATATAGTGTCGTGAAGTTTTTCGTAGTTCTTGATATTTTCTTCAATATTGTAGAACATACTTTTGTTCTATCACCAATAGTTTCCGCAGCGCACGCGACCAAAGATATTTTTAAAGCATTTTTTTACACCTTGAGTTACGTTAATAAAGTTTTAGTAAGGATCCCTAATCTTTTCTAGCAATTAATACAGCCTATGTTACTCAGGGTGAATGTAGCTTTCTAATGGTGAAAGAATTTTGGAAATCGACAAAGCAGTTTTTGAGTTTATTCATTACAAACATTCTACCGCTTGTATAACGAATTGTGATCAGAGGAATTATTCAATATGATGCCTACGGCCACTTTCTATCATCGTACGGCTCGCTACCGACAGGGAGTTCATCCTCATACCTTACAGCCTAAATGGTCGCGTACTGCGCGATTTCAGAGATGTTTTCTCCCACGAACACTCAAGTTATGGAATGAGCTCCCTGCCGAGGTTTTCCTAAGAGACTACAGCCTATCTATCTACGATACGACCACGTGTAAAGCCACGGGATACAGTCAGTATTAAGATATTTAGTAAAATTTTCCATTACCTTATATGATTTCCCACATATTTCACACAAGTGCTCCCCATCCGGCTCCTTATTCCTTTTCCCTTCGTGTATATTGTTCATATGGGCCACCATTATTTTCGCAGTTTTGAAGGCCTGTAAAAAATGAGTACACAAAATCGGATTAAATTAAAAAAAATTTGCATACATTACAAAATAAAATTAAAAATGATGTAGAATACATATACAATATACAGTCGAGGGATTTTTCGTAAAACATAAATGAAAAGGTTTGCCAAATTCATCCTCATTTCAGCCATTATCCGTCCACTGCTGGACATAAACCTCTCCCATAGACTGCCATAAAGACTTTGTACAAAAGTCGATTGCTTGGGTACCTCTGTCTCATTCGTGTTTCAATCGTGAAGCAGTTGTGTTTGCATGACTGTGTTTCGGTTTGAAGGGTGGGATATGGCGTGAATTTACAGGGTACAGAGGAATAACACCTGAGTCCTCAGGAATGGCAACGCATGGGGGGTATCATGGGCGAAACAGTATACTCTGTTATGTCCATGGTACTGCTCACGTCTGTAGGCGACGGTTACCACTTTCCATCAGGTGGGCCGTCAGCTTGTTTGTCATTCTAAGTTGTTTAAAAAAAAGTAGGTTCTGAGTTTCCTAAGTTGCCAACTTTTTTTTCGTTTTTTAATTATTCTAATGTTGGCAAAAGGGCTATTAAACCCCATTACTACTTCCTTTCCACACCGAACGAACACTAGGATTTAAGAAGGCTTAAAAAAACATAGGTTAAAAAAAACCTTACGACACCCACGGGAGAGGAAGGGGTGGCCAATTCTAAAAGGCCGATATAAGTGGCATACCAACCTTGAAACAAACCCGACACTGATACTTGATCCGTTTGAGGTGATCCCAATCTATATGGTCAACCATACACCATTTGGTTGGGAACTTCTTGCCGCAGTAGCTGCATTCGTGTCTGTGAACAATCATATTATCATCATCATCATCATCATTCCATCAACTGTCCACTGCTGAACATACGCCTCCCCTTGGAGGGTTTGCCAGTAATTGCCACGGTTGGCAGGCGAATTGGCAACCTTAGGTTTTGGAGATGTTTTAAGTAGGACACCGCTGCCCATCTCTCGCTCTCTCTTAGTCGCTGCTTACGACACCGACGGGAAAAGAAGGGGTGGCTTAATCTAAGCCGGGACTACACAGAAACTGAGAACAATGCACCACTGTAATTTTTCGCTTGCTTTGGTTGACTGGTAGAGAGGTAGTCAGGTGTTAAGTCCACCATACATTAAGAGAGAGACTGGTTGAAAACCAGTGCTGTGCAGCTGTTTCACCTCACAGTATCAGATAAGCCGGTTTCTTTTGCCTATTATAAGATACTGGAGCGGAGGGGGGGGGGGTGCTAGTAATGAGGATTAGCAACCCTATTACTGGTAATATACCATATCAGGTCGACCTCAAAGTCTCTCTCTGCCAGAGGGAGACTGTACAAAAGTCGTTTGCTTGAGTACCTCTGTCCCATTCGTGTTTCAACCGTAAAGCAGTTGTTTGCATGGCTGTGTTTCGGTTTGAAGGGTGGGATAAGGTGTAAATTTACAGGGTACAGAGGAATAACACCCGAGTCCTCAGGAATGGCAACGCATGGGGGGTATCATGGGCGAAACAGTATACTCTGTTATGTCCACGATACTGCTCATGGCCGTCAGCTTGTTTGCCATTCTGAGTTGTATAAAAAGAAAGGTGGACTCACACGTAGGTGTCCTCGGCGACGTGGCGCTTGCTGAGCCGCATGTGGTTGTTGTAGCAGTCGCGGCTGGCGAAGCTCTTGTTGCAGGGCCGGCACTCGTGCGTGGCGCCCTGCTCGCGCTCGCGGTGGTTGCGCGCGTGCCGCGCCAGGTTGCGCTTCCACTGGAACAGCTTGCCGCACGTGGGGCACGGGTACGACACGCCCTCGTGGATCACGCTGCACCACCAAATCACTTGCATTAGCTCGGGGGATTGTCAGTGGTGGGGTCTTATATACCCTTTCAGGTCGACTTCCAGACGGTTCCGCTTGGAAACTATCGTGACTAATTTATTGAATTCGCCACGACGGACTGACCTGCCTTTTCATCCTCACCTATCACCTCTCACTGGTGCCCGCCAGTGTATATCGATAGCGCAGGCAGGGTTACCATGCCATTTACATTGGAAACAATCATGACTAATTCTTGTGGAATTCGTAACAACGGGCTAACTGGTAAAATCTCCCCAATCGTAAACTGTAATGGCAGTTTACCAAGGGGGAAATTTTGGAGTGGGGGAACGACCTCGTGTTTATGACAGTATTTAGGGGAGGCCAATGTGTATGTGTCAAATATAAGCACAAATAAAAACTTCTTTCCTTTTTTTTTAAATTAGTATTTTTATAATTAGTATTATATAATAATATATAATTATATATATATATATATATATATATATATATATATATATATATATATATATATATATATATATATATATATATATATATATTATAATATAATTAGTAGTTTGAAGAGTGGGATATGGCTGTGAATTTACTGGGTACAGAGGAATAACACCTGAGTCCTCAGGAATGGCAACGCATGGGGGGTATCATGGGCGAAACAATATACTCTGTTATGTCCATGGTACACTCATGTCTATAGGCGACGGTTACCACTTTCCATCAGGTGGGCCGTCAGCTTGTTTGCCATTCTAAGTTGTATAAAAAAATATACTCAATGTCCAATACTTACACGTGGGATCTGTAACTCTTTTTCGAATGGAACACTTTGTCGCAGCCTTTACACGGAATGTACAGTTTTTCCTTTGGCTTGTCTTCTTTATTCTGTGGTAGTAATCTGTAAATCGTCAGTGTAATAAATTGTTGAGCATTTTAACCGACTTCAAAACAGGAGGTTTTCAACTCGACTTTTTTTTATGTTCGTTACCTCATGAAATACAATCACGTAATAAACAGACCAGTCACTACTAGAAACACCCTGGAGGGGGGGAGAAAGAGAGAAGGGTACTATATCTCAAAAGGAAATATGGAACTATTATTAGATCATTTTGTTATCCGTCTGTCAAGACCCATTTTCTAAGGAATACGTGGTGGTATCAAGCTACTATCAAACTACTATCAAATATCCAAGAATAGTTTGAAGATGTGAAAAATTCCTATGGTCCTTCGTCTTCCGGATAAAGTCGAAACAACTGTCAAAAATGCCGTGTGCTGTGAAATTGCTGTGTGATCCCGGCATAGAATGGGCCAACCCTTCCTTTCCCGTGAATATCATAAGAGATGACTAGAGGAACTTAACCCTCTAACCGCGAATAATTTTTTTTCTGCTTCATTTTCGCACATCGCTTTGACAACAAATAACAGTACAAGTATTTAGCCATCTAGCGAGATTTTGAAAAACAATAACGATCTACCAAAACAAAAATCGCGGGATAACAACGTCAGTAAACATAAAAAAATGCGATCATGTCTAAATCGCGGGATGGGTAAAATCAAACTAGAAAATACTGCACGCGGAAATCGCGGGATGCCCAGTCAGAGTTTATGGTTTACGGACAAGCAGCAGAATCCTTCTTAAAACATCACCCAAAACCTAACTGAGGTTACCAAGCCACATGCCAAGCATGGCAACTACTGGCATAACCCCTCAGTAGGGGGAGCCCTATGTTCAGCAGTGGACAGTTAGACTGATATGGCTTGGCCAAATTCTTAATCTAAGTTTTAACCAGTAATAAACGATGGTACTAACTTGAGGTGGTACTTCAGAGTCATCTTATTGGCGAATACCTTGCCGCAGCAGTCACACTGCGGCCGCTCGCGGCGGCAGATGCTCCTGTGGTACGTCAGCTTGGACTTTGTACTGGAACGAACATTCTCTTTTTAACTGCGTTCGTAACATGTTGAGTTGGTTGGATCGAGAAATAGACGATAACTTCGATTAATCTTATATTTCATTTTAAATACATATTTTAGCCGTGCAACGCAAGTGACAGATGAAACCAGAGGGTGAATGCAATATGGCGTGCGCTGAGTTCTTCCCAAAGCGATAATAGATGGCGCTACGTGTTCCGTTTACATAAATACGATTTTAATAATCGTTATTTAACCTAATTACAACAAAAAGTGTGGTAACGAAGCAATTACTTCAAAAACAATTGCAAATATTAAAAAATATTTTTTTGACTAATCAGTCACAAACAGTGAAAACTGTGAGGGCAAAAGATCATGGAAAGGTCGCAGTATCACAGATTTTTTTATATATCACAGATTGACAGATTGAAAATTGACAGATAAGTATGCCATTTCGGTGAACTAAACCTTTTTAATACGAATGCTTTTAAATACATTCAATGAACGATAATTCTGGAAACGAAAAGACTCGTGGTTGATTCTTGAATACGTCATGATTGATCAACTGACCTGCCTCCATTCTCACCTATCATCCGTCACTGGTGTGACGCCAGTGTATACAGATAGCTTAGGCAGAGTTACTATTCTTTCATCACCTATTAAAAAACCAGCCCCGTAGGACTCAAACTGATGTTGCCAGCCAATATGAGTTAGTGCATGAGCACTTCAGTTTATATAGGCAATAGTTTCACTACAATTATGTACCATTAGGCTTGCCACGACTGGCCATTTTGTAGGAACGTAGTAAAGTCAAATGTCAAATGTCTACAGTAAAATGACCGTGTATTGGTGTTTTGCCTGTAAAGAAATCGAATATGATTCTTCTACCCATTATTGTTGGTCCAATAGCACCACTGGGTTAGGTAGTTTCTTTAGGAATTACCACATATAGCCTTGAGATTGTGCCATAACATTAATATTATTATTACATATTATTATCATGGCCGGCCACGACCAGCTATTTCGTAGGAACGCAAAAACTTTGAATGAGTACGACGCCGTGGAATAACACTAAGATACCCATGCGTAATGTAGATTTTTTGCCCCCATATCAATTAATTATGGCTCAATAAACCACTGCAAAGAACAGGATATAGTTACTTATTCGGTGTAAACAAGCGCGTGTCGCAACATGAGATCTAGTGTATAAGTCGCAGCGGCAGCACTAGAACAAAGCAAATATGAAGTCAACGGTAAGATTTTCAGCTTTACTACTCAATGGTCAGCCACGATGAGCCATTTTGTAGGGACGTCAAATGGCTCCTACCTCCTATACGGTAGCTCATTACAATAAAGCGCTACAGCTACCTGAAGAGGGCGCCGCAGGAAGCGCACTGGTGTTGCTGGGCGGCGTGTGCGGCGGCGTGGCGCTGCACGAGCCGCTTGAGCGAGGTGCGTACGCCGCAGCGCCGGCAGCGGAACGCCGTCGCGTGTAAAGCACGATGCGCCGACACGTTCTCCTTCGTCAGGAAGTACGCTTGGCACACGTCGCACTGGTGGCAGTTGTCGCCTTTCTGCGTGTGACAGTGGGAGTGACAATTTCACGATGGGGTGTGATAATGTCACAGTCAGATGTCATAATGATTCAGTATAACAAAAAGTAAATCTTACAAGGTTATCAATATACTGTGTCTTCCCTGGTAAGTACTAATATTTTATAAAGTTGACTGCAATTTTTGTTTTTGTGCTTAATTTAATTTATATTTTTCATGGACTGTATGAACTTTATATCTACTATGATATTCAAATACAAATTATTGTTTACGAATAAATAAAATAAAAAGATATTCAGTTTAATTTTTAAATAAATATAACTTATTATGCCTTAAACACCTCCAGTGTTGAAGGTGTCCATAGACTACAATGACCGTTTACCATCAGACAGGCTGTAAGCTTTTTTTTATATTAAAATATTACGTAGTGCAATTTTGTAACATTCTCACCCCCTCCCCCCAATGTAATGCGCCGTATTTTTGTTTCTGTACCCCCCCCCCCCTCCTTCTAATCGTTATGTAACACCCAAGCAAATATTTTTACTTAAAACCTTAACGAATACAGACGAGGAATTCCCCGTAAAACATAAAAAAAGGGTTGCCAACTTGGAAGATTTTAATTTTCTAAATTCTTTTTTATTTACTTATATCCCTTTCAGACACAAGATTTTCTTTTCTTTCAGATTAAATATATTTTCGTGTTTTGGAACCAAGCCATGTTTTGCCGGCACGCACGAGACTACTGCACCACCTAACCGCTAAAATGATTTCTTATTGGCTGGTTTAGAATCTCACTATCATGTTATTTCAGCTTCGTGCGTAAAAATGAATTGCGCGCGGTTTTAGAATTTATTTAAAGTTACAACTCACGCCCTTGTCGTTCAGGTCTGAAAGGGATACAAAATAATGTTACACAACGCTTTGCATGAGTAGGAATGCTGAGGATTTCAAGATTTTACATATGAGCAATCATGTAGTAAATGTATAGGAAGTCGGGGCGAGTCGCTAGTATTTATTGACTAAAATAGCATACCGGCCTATGTTTCCCATTCATGTGGTCGTTCATAAGCTTCTCTGTATTAAAACCAATAAGGCACATATCACATCTGTACTTCAGTTTGGTGAACACTTTGCTGGCCACATCCTCGGCTCTGATCTGCCACATCTCCTCCTCTGTCATGGTGTACAGTTCCACTAGGCCTTCGGGCAGGTTTTTCAATCGACGGTTATTCGGTTTTGGTTCTGGTGGCTTCGGGGCCTGGAAATAATGGAATGACTGGAATGACAATGCATGGGGGGTATCATGGGCGAAACAGTATACTCTGTTATATCCATGGTACTGCTCATGTCTATAGGCGACGGTTACCACTTTACATCAGGTGGGCCGTCAGCTTGTTTGCCATTCTAAGTTATACAACTTAGAATGGCAAACAAGTAGACTGCGCACCTGATGGCCCAAAAAAAGATTTAAAAAAAAACAGACGGGCGGATGGACACAGCCGTAATATAAAGATACATTTGTACCTTTTTGGTGGTGAACCCTAAAAATAATTTATTCAAATAAAGGACTATCATCTTTTATTTACTTAGAAAAAAAAAATATTCATTTGGCACATATTTATTTGTTAAAATTACGTATAACTGTTAAATAATTTTTAGGGTTCTTATAACTTAATAATATAGTTTTAGTTTGTTTGAACACGTTAATCTCTGGAACTAGCATTACATTTCACTGCTTATGTCTTATACGACCACAGACGAAGCCACGGAGCACAGTTAGCTAGCTATATATATATATATAGATATATATATATATATATATATATATATATATATATATATATATATATATATCGCAATCTTACAAAAAGGCTGAATCAGTTTTTCTTTCTCAATGAATGTCTTTTTTTAATGGATAATAATAGAATAGTAACCCCGCCTGTGGTATTAGTATACACTGGCGGGGCACCAGTACCAGAGAGAGGTGATAGATGATGATGAAGCATGATAGTTTCCGGGAAAACCGCGTGGAGCTCGACCTGATAGGGTCGCACTAATGCTAACAATGGGGTTGCTAACTTCCATTACTAACAATCCCTTCTCCCCCTCCCCCACAACCGTAAAGTATATTTCATACTGCCAGGATGCTTCTATCCCTAATTTACAAGGAAAAACAACGTTGTTCGGGTCAATTAATGTTATAACATAATAACCTACTCACCAGTTCTGTTTTACTCTTCTCTTTCTTTCCTTTCTTCTCTCTCTTTTCCTTCTTTTTAGTCTTCTCCGTCTTCAACTTCGATAGTTGAACGTCGTCATCGGACGTTGCGTATTGTTCTTGAGACAAATCTTCGGAGAAATGTGATCCACCCACATAGTCATCCTTCTTTGAGGCGGAATTATCTTAAAAAAAAAATATATATATATTTATACAACTTAGAATGGCAAACAAGCTGACGGCTCACCTGATGGAAAGTGGCAACCGTCGCCTATAGACATGAGCAATACCATGGACATAACAGAGTATACTGTTTCGCCCATGATACCACCCATGCGTTGCCATTCCTGAGGACTCAGTTGTTATTCCTCTGTACCCAGTAAATTCACTGCCATATCCCACCCTTCAAACCGAAAATCACAGCCATGCAAACACAACTGCTTTACGGTAGAAACACGAATACGACAGAGGTGCCTGAGCAAACAGTTTATGTACAAAATCTCCCTCTGGTAAAAGTATCTTTTGAGGGAAAAACAATAAACTGAGTTGTGACCATTTTGTATTACTGTGGCATACACACGATAAATTATGTTACATCTTTTATGTACTTTCTTTTTATACATATATTGTTTTATTTCTTTTTTAAGTATGTACCAATATCTTATGTTAGTTGCCTCTTACGACACCCACAGGAAAGCAAGAGATGGCCTATTCTATGCCAGGACAATACGGCACTAGCTGTACTAACCACGATTCATAGGGGGGAAGGGATTGTTAGTAATGGGGTCTAGCAACCCCCTTGCTATCAATATACCCTGTCAGGTCGACCTCCACGTGGTTCCCTCTGGAAACCATCGTGACTAATTCTAGTTTAATTCGTCAGGATGGGTTAACTGACCTACTTTCACCTTCATCTGTCATCCCTCACTGGTGCCCCGCCATTGTATACCAATAGCGCAGACGGGGTTACTATACCATTATCACCCATTAAAAAAAAAATAGTAAAAAATGAAGTTTACCAGATTCATAGTGGGATTCTTTATTATCCTCTATTTTGAGGTCTATATCCATCATGTACTCGTCAGCAGGTGGCGGTGTGCTCGGCTGGTCATTTGACTGAAGCTCTATCGTGTTCATGGTCAGCCGAGTTGTGGCGTGAGCTGTGAAGTCTGCTGGGGAGTTGAGGAATGTATGCTGCGGAGAGTAAACAATATATATTAAATTTTAATTGGGTTCAAAAAGCAGGCACCTAATTCCATTGTATTTTTTTTATGTTTGTTACCAAATTTAATTGAATTAGTTTATAAATGACAGAGTTATGAGGTAACAAATGTAAAAAAAAATACTCCTTTTTTGAAGTTGGTTAAAAACAATTTCAAATTGTATAATGTTAGTTACCTTTCTAGAATAGTTGATGAGGACCTCATAAGATTTAAGGATTTGTGCTTGAAAACGACCAACGGCCCTGACCGCAGCCAGACATTCCCAGCACACTTGGATCGAGAGACCATCTGGGACCTGCAAGAGCAAAGAAGTCTTTTTATCATCATCATCATTATCACAAAAGCTGGTAACTATTCACTGCTGAACAAAACCCTTCTCCATAAGCTGAGTTATGCTAGTAATATGCCATGCTTGGCAGGCAGGTTGGCAAACCAGTTTTTTTTGGTGGCAAATAAGCATACAGTCCACCTAATGGTGAGTGGTTACCGTAGCCTATGAACACTTGCAATACCAGAGGTATTACGCATGTGTTGCCGACCCTGAATAAACCTCTTTACCCCCCTTTTAAAGAACCCCATGCTGTAGGCTCTTGGGAAAACCTTGACAAGGAGCTCATTCCATAACCTGAGTGTTCGTGGGAGGAAACATCTCTGAAACCGCATTGTATGTGACCAAAGTTAGGCTTTTAGTGATGGTTTATGAGGAATAATGCTACCCATCCATCCACCATAAAGATTATTGAAGTAATTTGTTTGTGTGGAAACTGTGACAATTTGGAAACCCTTCTTCATGTGGAGGCCAACAAAATATAGGACCCACGGGCCTGCTAGTTCGAAAACACTTTTTCTACTGTATTTTAATATATACACTTTCAGTCCAGAAGGAAAGGGTTTTATAAATGGGGACCAGCAGCCCTATCTCCCACAATATACTCTGTCAGATGGATCTGTTCACTTTCCCATACCATCAGGAATTGAATATGATGGTTTTCTAGACCAGGATGTGCTAAATGACATGACTTCATTCTCACCTATCATCCCTCACTGGTGCCCCTTCCAGGCGAAAGACGATTGTTAGAAATAGGGTCCAAGATACTATTGCTAGCAATATATTGATTGACACATGATTCTTCCTGGAAACCATACTGGTTAATTCTTAGAAAATTTGTCATGATGAAGGGCCATCTGATTTGCTTCCACCCTCATCTATCATACCACACCGGTGCCCTACCAGCGTAGCTTTTTTAATGGATGATAATAGAATGGTAACCCCATCCGCGCTATCGGTATATACCGGCGGGGCACCAGTGAAGAATGATAAATGAGGATGAAGGTCAGTTAGCTCATCGTGACGAATTCAACAAGAATTGTTCACAATGGTTTCCAAGGGAAACCACATGGAAATCGACCTAATAGAGCATATTGCTAGCAATATGGCATTCAAATCCATTGTTAACAATCCCTTCCCCCCCCCCTACCAGCGTATAAAGATAGTGCATGCAATATTACTATTTCATATTCGCCCATAAAAATATACCAGTAGAGCGGTGGGATTTACCATTTTACTACCATTTATTAAAAAAAAAAACTATTCAATTATCAGAATATAAGAAATGAGATTTCAATTGACCAAAGTATTAATAACACAACTTCTCGTTTTAAACTACGCCGCAGTCGGTTAAAAATAAAAAAAAATATGTGGCGTTTCCAATCATTTCTGTTCTTGTTTACATTTCAAATTTGAGGCTTTTTAACATAAAGTACACTAACAAAGCGATGCACTATAAAGATTTTATAACTTAATTTAAATTTCGAATGCAATAAGGGAATTTAAAAGAAACTTACATCAATATTTGCTAGTAATTTAAAACAATCTTTAACTTCTTCGACATAGAACATCTTTCGGTCGTAATTCAAACAACCAACACATATTCCATTTACATTGTAACCCTCTATATTAATGTCTATTTCACCCATTTTGCAATATTTTTGTAACATTTGTTTTCAAATAAGTTTATAAAGAAAGGAAGCTTCATTCCTTTCCTTCGGCCATCTTGTTAGCATTTTTTGACACTTCTAATTTGACAGTTCGTATCATGTTGTTGGTGAAAGGAATATAATGTTACTAGTACGGAAAAATTTACTTATTAATAAGGGTACGACAACTTAATTAGTTACTTCATCAGATTACGAAAAACCACTTTGACTTCGCTCTGGTAGATAGATAGATCACGATATTTTTTTTAATAAAATATAACCTATGTTACTCAGTGACATTATAATTTTCTTTAAATGAATTTGTTCTTTTAGTCTATTCATTACAAACAAAAAATCAATTTATTTTATAACATTAGTTTGTGGTATAAACGTAAGATGAAAATAACAAAACAGGTCTATTGTTATATAAATCCGACTGGGGCAATTTAAAAGCTAAGATGTGATGAGGTAAATGAAATACTAAAGTAACAACATTTAATTTTACAGGTTGGGCAATATAATAAAATATATGCGTGGAATACGTACCGATTCATGCAGATTTATTTTATTTTATCGGGCAGATTAATTTGATTTTATTAATAGGAATTTATTATTTATCTCACATGTCGGGGGGTTTATTGAGCAGGTAGCAAATATTCCTGGATATTATCAAAACATATTTTTTTCTCTAATTTATAAATAGGTACTAAAGCAAGATTGTGTACAAAACTCGTTTGCTTGAATATATCTATCCCATTTAAGTTTTTATCGTAAAACAATTTTGTTTGCATGACTGTGTTTCGGTTTGAAGGGTGGAAATTTACAGAGCTATAACACCTTAGTCCTCAGGAATAAAAACGCATGGGGGGTATCATGGGCGAAACAGTATACTCTGTTATGTCCAAGGTATTGTTCATGTCTATAGGCGACGGTTACACTTTCCATTAAGCTACATTATACTGAAGTGCCAGAGTATCTTAAATAAAAATGTCGCAAATTGGCATTGTAATTATAGTATTTTATAAATTTTCTCATCTATCACCCTTCACTGGTGCTCCGCCAGCGTATCTCGTTAACGCAGGCGGGGTTACCATGCCATTTTTACCCATCAAAAAAAAATCTATTTAAAATTTGCTCTTAAGTTTTAAAGTATAAAACTGAAGAGTAGAAGGACAATATTCTAATTTCAATAAAAATCTTTAAAAACAAATAGCTCAAATGGACAATATCATTGTTTATTTTTATAATGAACCAAATGGTTACAATTTCTTAATTTCTCAGCTGCTTGCTCCGGTGTGAGATCACGTTGACTTTGCGCCAGCATCTCATAACCGACCATAAATTTCTTGACGGTGGCCGACCGCAGCAGTGGAGGTAAATATATAGCATGCAGCAACCAATGCGGAGAATCGCCTGCAGTGTGGTCTGGGCCTGTTGGTGCGCCTGTAATAAAAAAAAAACAATTCAAATAATGACAGGAAACTTTTTTTTTTCTTCAATGACAAACCGTCATTATTTTTAACGACAATTCCTGCCAGTGTCATGTATAAGAGGCTCGTGCTGGAAACGAAAAATATATCAAAACTATTATATAATCTAATTTTGGGTTTTTTGGTATAAAAAAAAAAGTTTTCATGTTATGGTATAACATAAACGCGTTGTAACTTTTACGTTTGCAGCATTCGATATTTTGTCATTATAATACATTCTTAATGAAGCGTAGAACATAAGTTTTTTATATATTTAACATTGTTATTTGTTCTCTACTAAAAGACAGAGGGAGACTTTGTACAAAAGTCTATTGCTTGGGTACTTCTGTCCCATTCGTGTTTTAACCATGAAGCAGTTGTGTTTGCATGGCTGTGTTTCGGTTTGTAGGGTAGGCAGGGCCGTGCCTGGGTATATGGCCGCCTGCGTGCCAGTCTGTATGGCCGCCCCCAGGATAACATTAAAAAAAACTACTTTAATTTTTAATGTTTATTATTATACACAGGGCATCAAACCGGGAAAAAAATCAGTTTTTGGTTAACCGAAATCGGCCCAGTAAACAACTTGTAACGATTTGGCCGCCTCTTAATTTCGGCCGCCTGCGTGCGGTGCACGCAATGAACGCCCGTCAGGCACGGCCCTGAGGGTAGGATATGGCGTGAATTTACTGAGTACGGAGAAATAACACCTGAGTCCTCAGGAATAGCAACGCATGGGGGGTATCATGGGCGAAACATTATACTCTGTTAGATCCATGGTATTGCTCATGTCTATAGGCGACGGTTACCACTTTTCATCAGGTGGGCCGTCAGCTTGTTTGCCATTCTAATTTGTATAAAAAAAAAAAACTTAAGGGTTCGATACCGCTTGTAAGCCTGGAATATTTAAAAACCGAATACTTACTGTAGAAAACCAAAACATGAGACATATAAAAGAAAACATGAGACCTAGACAGTTTTGGTTTTTCAATTATTTGAATAATTTTTGGAGCTGTTAACTGTCCACTGCTGAACATAGTCTTTCTCAAAGTGGGGGTTTTGACAGTAGTTGCCACGCTTGGCAGACGAGTTGACGATATCGCTTGTACAACGGACAGTGCTCAAAGAAATTGTCTAAGAATATGCCCACGGCCATTTTCTACCATTCATACAGCTCGCCATCGACAGAAAGTTCACTCCCATACCTTAGACCCTAAATGGTAACGTAAAGCGTGGTATCTGAGATGTTTCCTCCCACGAACGCTCAGGTTTTTTTTTGATGGGTGAAAATGGATCGGTAACCCCGCCTGCGCTAACGGGATACGCTGGCGGAGCACCAGTGTAGGGTGATAGATGAGAATGAAAACAGGACAGTTAGCCCATTATGATGAATTCATCAGGAATTGACCATGATAGTTTCCAGGGAGAACCGCGAGGAGGTCGACCTAGTTGGATATATTGCTAGTAATGGGATTCTTAGTCTCCATTACTAACAATCCCATTCCCCCCGAACGCTCAGGTTATGAAATTAGCTCTCTGTCAAGGTTATTCCATAAGCTTACAATTTTGAGAGTACTAAAATCAAAAATATAAACTCACCATGAAATCCCATACTGTATGGGAAACTGCAACTAAATAAATTGTCATATTTTGTGGTCAATAGCTTTATTATCTCTGCCAAACCCTTCTTCTGTTGATCGTTGAGATCTGTTAGTCGTTGTGGTCCTCCATTTATGGGTAGCACCATGGTCTCAAAGGGCCATGTAGCCCAATATGGTACCAATGCGACCCATTCTGTGTTTTGTATAACAATACGCTCCTGTAAGAATAAAATTCATTATTGTTAAAGTATAGTTTATCGTGAACTGTATGTAGCAACCCTAACTTTGCTTATGGTTTGAAAAATAAAAATACAAGTGTATCCATTATCATTCATTAAAGAACCTGATAATAATGTTGACTGATTAACGGCATTAATATTTATTATTTATGCTAGCTTTTCAATGATACACCAGAGGAAGACTTTGTACAAAAGTCGATTGCTTGGGTACCTCTGTCCGATTCGTGTTTCTACCGCGAAGCAGTTGTGTTTGCATGGCTGTGTTTCGGTTTGAAGGGTGGGACATGGCGTGAATTTACAGGGTACAGAGGAATAACACCTAAGTCTTCAGGAATGGCAACGCATGGGGAGTATCATGGGCGAAACAGTATACTCTGTTATGTCCATGGCACTGCTCATGTCTATAGGCGACGGTTACCACTTTCGACCAGGTGGGCCGTCAGATTGTTTCCCATACTAAGTTGTATAAAAAAAACACAGTCCATCCATGTCTTTTTAGGTTTTCCTCTGCCCTTATAACCATCTATATTCATACTTAATACCTTTCTTGAAATATGCTCCTCATCTCTGGAGCATTACGTGCGCATAACAGGACAGACGATACCTCAGCATATACCGATAGCGCAGGCGGTGTTACCATTCCATTATCATCCATAAAAAACAGGACAGACGGTTGCACCTTAACTAGCGTCATTAAATTTAATATTAATTCAATTTCATAATTTTGCTTACCTTCTTCTCCATTTCCATCTCCAGATATTCAACCAATAATGTCTTATTATATTTAGTATAGTACTCCTTTTGACATCTGTAAAGTTATGGGATATAGTACATTACTGCAGCGGCCAGCAACTGAGGCATTGATGGACGAACGTGCAAATGTGGGCCGAGGCGTAGCCATGGCACACATACGTGAGTCCATCAATTTTGTAAAAGACTTTTGTACTAAAATAAGTATTAATATTGTTAATCCTACATTGCCTTTGCCCGTACGTGGTCGCCACTTAAGAACATTTCTCCCCATCGGTTGTCGGTTCTTCGAGTTATGTGACCAGCCCATTGCCACTTAAGCTTGCTTATCATTCGGGCTACGCCGGTTACTTCAGTTTCATATATGAAAATAAATACCTGTCCTTAATTCTACCTTCGTTTGGTAGAAAACTGGACGCCCATATCTGACAATGGGGATGAGGGTTGGAGCACCCCATCACGTTGCCTTTGTTCTCGAAGATCTGCACCCAGGTATACCGCCGACCGAGTTCTTTGGTCTGATTCACCCATCTATAAAGATGTTTATTGTATTAGTCCCGTAGATTTTTTATTAAAATAGCTTCAGTAGCTTAATTTTAAAAGCAAAGATTATGCCACGATTGAAATTTTTTCGTAGAACAAGTTTTCGGTCAAACCAAGAATCGTGTCAATTCCGGTCGCCATTTTGTAAACCTATCTCTTAATCTAATATTTTATTTTGATAGTTTCGCGAAATTACTGTTTTATGGACCATCATAAATCAAATTTATAATCATTTTGACTTAAATCTAATTATAAGGGAGGAAAAGGATTGTTAGTAATGGAGACTGAGAATCCCATTGCTAGCAATATACCCAACCAGGTTGACCTCCTCGCGGTTCTCCCTGTAAACTATCATGATTAATTCCTGAGAAATTTATCATGATGGGCTAACTGGCCTGTTTTCATTCTCATCGATCACCCTTCACTGGTGCTCCGCCAGCGTATCCCGTTAGCACAAGCGGAGTTACCATACCATTTTCACCCATCGAAAAAAAAAATCTAATTATGAATTTAGTTCAATTTGGTTCTTTAAAATGTTGGGACACTTGATAAGAGTCGACGAACTTATAAACATTATAAAAGAAGGTAAGATGGAAGAAAGGAGGGGAAGAGAGAGATCAAGACATCAGGTAGATCAAGAAGGAGTTGGTGTCGTGTCGTATCAAGATGTGAAAACTCGCTGAAAATCGTAGTGAGTGGCAAGAGTTCCACCGACAAGATTATAGCTCTTAAATAGGAAACGAAATGGTCCTTTAAATAAAAATTTTGCTGTGACATCAAACAGAAGTTTTAATTTTAGAAATAGGTTCAAAGAAATTGCGTCCCGAAATTGGCTCCATCGTTTATTGTTTACATATATGCCAAGTGTAAAAATAATAATAATTTTTTTTTGCAACTTAGAATGGCAAACAATCTGACGGCCCACCTGATGTAAAGTGGTAATCGTCGCCTATAGACATGAGCAGTACCATGGATATAACAGAGTATACTGTTTCGCCCGTAATAACGCCCATGCGTTGCCATTCCTGAGGACTTAGGTGTTTTTTTTTATGAGTGAAAATGGAATGGTAACCCTATCCGCGCTATCGGCATACATCGGCGGGGCACCAGTGAAAAATGATAGGTGAGGATGAAGTAGCCCAGTTAGCCTATCGTGACGTATTCAACAAAAATTGTTCACGATAGTTTCCAGGGGGAACCACGTGGAGTTCGACCTGATAGGGCATATTGCTAGCAATGGGGCTGTTAAACTCCATTGCTAACAACACCTTTCCCCCCAGGACTTAGGTGTTATTCCTCTGTACCCTATAAATTCACTGCCATATCTCAAACTTCGAACCGAAACACAGCCATGCAAACACAGCTTCACGTTAGAAACACGAATAGGAACACACACACAAACTTCAGTACGTACTTACTCTTCGACCACAGACAGTATTTCTTCCACTGACATCAAGGGAATGGACACCGCAGAGTTCGGGTGGAAACACATCACCCTGTAAACACAATAAGTATTGAATTAGCCGTGTAATCCTAGCATAGAATTGAAAACCCCTTCCTTTCCCGTGAGTGTCGTAAAAGACGAATAAAGGATCTTAGTAGTCGAGAGATGGGCAGCAGGATTCCTCTCAAAATGCCACCAAAAGTCTAACTGCAGTTGCCAACCGCCTGCTAAGCGTAAGAACTTTTGGCTAAACAGCCCACGGGGAAGGCTTATGTTCAACAGTGGACGGTAAAGGGCGGATATGATGATGATAGTTAAAAATCAGTTTAACTTCTGGATTGGTCACCGTATAATTCTTGAGTGGACATGCCTCCTTGACCCTTCTAGTATATAAGTATAAAATTTCTCCCACGAACACTCAGGTTGTATTGAGCTCCTTGCCGAGGTTTTCCCAAGAGACTACAGCATGGGGTTCTTCAAATAGAGGTAAAGATGTTTCCTCGGGGTCGGCAACATGCGCATAATACCCCTGGTATTGCAGGCGATCATAGACTGCGGTAACCACTTACTATCAGGTGGGCCGTCAGCTTGTTTGCCATTCTAATTTGCATAAAAAAATGTATCAAAGCAGACTTTTATACAAGTTCGCCTCTGGTACATCACCTGCAAGTGCCTCTAGCTTGTCTGGCCTGGAACAGAGGATGGTCAGACTGCGGCGGCTCCGGTCCACGCTCCAGTAAAGCTGGAAAGTCGTTGGGGAACACGTAGGTGGATGTGTAGTTTGGATTGCGCTGGTGAACAAACAAAAATATCTTAAGTATTGTTGTATAATAACTTTCATCAGGATTATTTATTGTTTTTTTTTAATGAGTGAAAATGAAATGGTGACCCTGTCTGCCCTATCGGCATACACCGGCGGGACACCAGCGATCGATGGTGAGTGAGGATGAAAGCAGCTTAGTTAGCCCATCGTGAAGAATCCACAAGAATTAACCACGTTGGTTTCCAGGGTGAACCATATGGAAGTCGACTTGATATAGACTGGGTATATGGGGCTGCTAAACCCCATTACTAACAATCCCTTCCCCCCGCATGATTTTTGTTTGCCGTATGGTATAAAGTGAACTTGGCATAAAGTGGGCTACTCTCTATGGGTGTCATAAAAAGCGACTAAGGAAACTTAACGGTCGAGGGATGGGAAGCAGAGTCACTCTTAAAACATCACCAAAGCCTAAATGCGGTTGACAGTTGCCAGTAGCTGCCAAGCGCGGCAACTACTGGCAAAACCCCTCTGGGGAAAACCGCTACAGGGAAAGTTTATGTTCGGCAATTGACCATTAACAGCTGATATGATCTGATAAAATATAATGCTTGTAATAGAGGGGAGAGGGAGAGGAAGGCGACCTTCATGTGGTCCCCCCTGGTAACCATCGTACTGAATTTCAGGTGCATTCATCACGATGGGCTAACTGTCGTGCCTTTTTATCCTCACTTATCATCTCTCACTGGTGCCCCGCCAGCGTATACCGTTAGCGCAGGCGGGATTACCGTTCCATTGTCATCCATTAAAAAATATGCCATAAATAGTAATATCAATCTTCTATGTCTCGAAAATTTTACACGACACGACGAACTTATGAACATTATAATAGAAGGTAAGACAGAAGGAAGGAGGGGGAGAGGGAGACCGAGGCATAGTTACATCAGGCAGAGCAAGGAAGTAGTTGGTGTCGTGTCGTATCAAGAGGTGAAGGGACTCGCTGCAAATCGTAGTGAGTGGCAAGAGCTCCACCGACAAGAGCGCAGCTCTTAAATAGGATAGATAGATAGATAGATGTCCAGAAAAGTCCAATATATAGATATCGGATCGGAAAATAATCAATCAGAAATGTCAAAAATTCGCTGATTTTGAGAATTGACATATACCTGACATTTCTATATGCAAAAGTTAAATAAAAGAAATTTTTAATAAAAAGTCTTAACTTTTTTTTATGTATTTCCTTTCCTGGCCGAAGAGTACAAGCACTGCTTGGACCTTGCTGCACAACAAACATTAAAAAATCCTCTTCCTTTTTGAAAAATGGCCGATCACTACCTCATGGGTATAGCCTATTACCTGTCCATTAGCCCGGACGGCTCCAGCTTTTAACGGATTGTTAGGGTCTGGGGGTTGCTCCTGCGGTGGTGGCTCGGAATGCCCGCTCCAGGGTCGCAGACACCGGTGGGGCGAGACCAGGATCCATTCATCTTTCAACGGATTGTATCTCACGTGCTGGTGCTCTGGAATTGAATGTCAAGTTGGTATGAGAAGCAGTGCTTAATCTACTTGTGGGAGAAAGGGATTGTTAGTATTGAGCTCTAATATATTTATTTTTATTTATTTAACACTTTATTGCACCAACATAACAGGATTTGTTGAACAATTTTCAATACGTATAGTGTAGTACGAAAGGCGGTCTTATTGCTAAGCAATCTCTTCCAGACAACCTTTCGGTAGAAGGAATTAAAGAATAAATAGGTAGCAATATCCCTCTATTAGGCCGACCTCTACGTGTTTTTTTTTAATGGGTGATAATGGGATGGCAACCCCGTCCGCGCTATCGGTACACACCGGCGGGACACCAGTGATAGATGACTGATGAGGATGAAATCAGGTCAGTTAGCCCATCCTGACGAATTCAACTAGAATTAGGAACCACGTGGAGGTCGACCTGACAGGGTATAATGCTAGTAATGGGGCTATATTAGATCCCATTACTAACAATCCCTTTCCCCCCACCTCTACATGGTTTCCCCGGGAAACCATTGTGGTTATTCATCACGATGAATTAACCGACCTGTTTTCACCGGAAGGGGGAAGAAATTATAATATATTAAAAAAAAAAAAAAAAAAATATATATATATATATATATATATATATATATATATATATATATATGGAATTTTGCATGGTGATACCTATGTATTACATCCCCGGTCAACATTTTAGATATTTTTAATCATGAAAAATTAAACAGTTAAAAAACTACAGTAACTTTTACAGCTTAGTACACAACCTACTTAAGTAAAGTCATTTTGACCTAAGGCAAAGAGTGAGAACGACACGTCATTTGTTAATTTCGCTCCAGTAATAGAGGGAATAACAAATACCACGCGGGCAATGTCGCGGGCAACAGCTAGTTATAACTAAAAACGTTTGTTCCATAGATAAAGTTAGGCAAATAAAATAAGTTTAATCGCCTACCTGCCGCATTGAATTCCCGTGATTTGTTCATAGTTGGAGAAACTCACAAGTGGTTTTTTTTCAAACACGTCCGTTCTCCATCACTGTTAATTGTACACTGACCGTAATTCTATGAATTCTCGTTTACAATTGATAATGTTGATAATAAAAGACGTCACAGATTATAAATTGACAGAGGGGTTATTTTATTGTTATGAAGTAGGTAATAAAGTATTTTTTTTTTTTTTTTTTTTTTTATTGGTAGAAAATGGAATAGTAACCCCACCTGCGCTAACGGGATACGCTGGCGGGGCACCAGTGAAGGGTGATCGATGAAGATGAAAACAGGCCAGTTAGCCCATCATGATGAATTCATCAGGAATTAATCATGATAGTTTCCAGGGGGAACCGCGAGGAGGTCGACCTGGTTGGGTATTTTGCTAGCAATGACATTCTCAGTCTCCATTATTAACAATCTCTTTCCCCCCTAAAACTATCGTGGTTAAGTGTTGAATTCTTCAAGATGGGCTAACGGACCAGCCCTCACTGGTGCCCCGCCAGCGTATATCGATAGCGCGGGCGGGGTTGCCATTCCATTTACACCCATTAAAAAAAATGGTATACAGTGCGGTTTTGAACGCAGACTTATTTTCCAACGCAGTTTTCTCCCGCGTACGCTCAGGCTGTGGATGAGCTCCCTGCTGAGGTTTTCCCTAGAGACCACAGTTTGGGGTTCTTCAAAATGGAAAAAATGAATGATGATGGAAAAGTGATAACTGTCGCCTATAGACATGAGCAGTACCATGTACACAACAGAGTATACTGTTTCGCCCATGATACCCCCCACGCGTTGCCATTCCTGAGGACTCAAGTGTTATTCCTCTGTACCCAGTAAATTCACGCCATATCCCACCCTTCAAACCGAATCACAGCCAAGCAAACACAACTGCTTTACGGTTGAAAAACGAATGGGACAGAGGTACCCAAGTAATCGACTTTTGTACAAAGTCTCCCTTTGGTTCTAGAATGGGACAGAAGTATCCATGAATTCATTAATGGTTTCCTTCTGGTAGAAATATAAAAAGTAAGTTACGTTTTAGTTAGAGTTGCCAAACGTACTACCGTCGGGGGGGGGGGGGGGATTATTAGTAATGGGGTTTAACAGCTAGCAATACGCTCTATAAGGTCGACCTCCATGCGGTTCACACTAGATGGAGTGACGACCTGAACTACATTGCAGGGAGTCAGCGGATGCAGGTGGCTCAGGATCGTCCTTTATGGCAGTCTATGGGGGAGGCTTATGTCCAGCAGTGGACGGATAATGGCTGAAATTATGATGATGAGTTAGTAACCACAAAAGACATGTGACACCCCGTAGGGGCATCGTGGTTAATGGAATAACAAGATAATGGAATGGGAGAAGGGGTGGCCTATTCTATGCCGGGACCACACGGTCTACGCTGGGACCACACGGCTGTATACTGTAAAATAAATACTTATGTTATAGTACGCAAAAATATTTATGGGAGAGGCCTATGTTCAGCAGTGGACAAGTAACGGATGATATGGTGATGATGATGATGGCGATGAAGAAGAAAAAAAAATTTTAGTAACTAATATTTAGTATATATATATATATATAACATGTACAGAATTATAAATTTGAAAGAGTGAGAAGAGAGAAGAACAGAGTAAATATCTCTTGTTAACAATTTATATTTTAATATTTCCAAAAAATACTGTATTTTCAAGTATACTTTACTTTCTTATAGCTCATTTGGAAAAATATTATATTCACTCCTAGAATTGCAGGTGTCTATAGGCTACAGTCACCATTTTCCATCAGACGGGCTGTATGCTTGCTTGCCACCTCTGTGGTGTAAAAAAAAAATCAAGCAAAATAAAAATGTTGGCAACCCTAGTTTAAAGAACTTCGTTTATTACTTTAATGACAAACTGCAGTGACCGTTTACCATCAGACGGGCTGTATGCTTGTTTACCACCTTGATGATATAAAAAAATTAGCAGAAAAAAAAATATTGGCAAACCTAGTTTTAGTTATATTTTTTTTTTAAATTTTAATGACATTTACATTATAAAGTAAATAATTTACAAATAGTAAATGAAAAAAAAAAATCTATTGTGCATGATTCTAATATAGTTTGACAAGTTTTTTTTTTTATTTGTTCATCCATTTTATCTTTCTAGAACACAGACGACTAGGGCAAACCAATCTTTTACCAGATACCACATCTCTCATAGCTGTGAATGACCTATATTTTTTTTTCTCCGTCGTTGATAAAATGTATTCGAGCCAAACTCAGAGCTATCTTGAAATACGACGTGCTGATGTACACATAGTTAGATATATACACTTAAACGATGTTGCGTAGCCTAATTTCCTGAAGAAAAATAAAGAAAACTATGGCCATTGTCACATGTTGTTGCCGTCCTATTCGCACGCTAGAAACACTCATTCTGTCTCGCTCTTTTTTACAGTTTATTGGAACACGCATAATAATAAAACTGTACCTAGTATCAGATTAACACCACAATCCATATAATTTCGACGGTGAAAATAGGAATATCGCTAACTGAATAATTAAATTACTCCCCAGCTGATGACATTTTAAACATGGGGCGTATCAGCTGTAGTGCGTTTACAAAGCAAAATGCACTCTATATACTGACGCGAAGGACCAAGTTTGCATACAAAGAACGAAAAACGCACTGCCGTAGTTGCCGACACTGGCATATAAGAGAAAAACAACATAACGTACATAAATAACTGGCAACAGAGAAATAATATCGTAAAAATTAAAAACCTAACATTCCAATTTCGAATTAACATGTCGCGGTGAATTTTTCGAAAACGGAACGCCGCCTGCGCGCGCATGCAGCATCGACCCGATATCTCTTATCGGGACTGGTAGTGCACGTCCGACCAGCGCCGAGGTCGGACGTATGTCTGTATGGGTGAACTACAGTACCCCGGCGCACCAAGCGTCGCAGACGACGAGAGACAATACAGGGCTCCGTTCCGACGGGCCCCGCAGTACAGATGGCCGGCGCCGCAGCCCCCACAACCGTCGGCCTTCGCCCCGTGGCGGAGGGCCCCAGCGCCGCCGCGGCCCCAAGATTATAGACGGAGCGCCTCCTACCCTGGCAAACCTGATGAACCCTACCAGGTAAGAGGCATGACTGTGGAAAAAATTACGTATAAAACATTAATTGACAAACACATTCCCATAACTGCAGTGTGAGTTTGTTACATTTTCATTTACCTATATCAATGATGTTTTTAAAAACACACGTAAATCGACACGTCGGCGTAACGCGACATTGCTGGTTAAAATTGTTTTTCCAAACAATACTAGGGTGACCCCATATTATAATGGTTATATCAAGTAAAAGTCCTGTAAAAAAAATCAATTTTCCATTTTAAATGTGATTTTTCTGGATCGATAGCTTAAATTTGGTTACGGCACAAAAGTTATTATTTACATTTAGTGAAAAACAAACACATTATAATGTTTTTCGCAATTAGATAAACTATTTTATAACATCAAAAAAAAAAATTATGTACTACGCATTTATAAACCTCAATATGTTTCTAGAATTACTTTTAGGCCTTAACATAATCGCTACTAGAGGGAGACTGTACAATAGTCGTTTGCTTGGGTCCATTCGTGTTTCTACCGTGAAGCAGTTGTGTTTCCATGGCTGTGTTTCGATTTGAAGGGTGGGATATGGCAGTGAATTTACAGGGTACAGAGGAATAACACCTGAGTCGTCAGAAATTGCAACGCAAGAGGGCTATCATGGGCGAAACAGTATACTCTGTTATGTCCATGGTACTGCTCATGTGTATAGGCGACGGTTACCACTTTCCATCAGGTGGGCCGTCAGCTTGTTTGCCATTCTAAGTTGCATAGAACAATTGCTATTATTACTGATTCGATTTTTTTATTTGCATTTTAATTACAATTTACATGAACACTAATTATTTTAAAAGAAAAAATTACAAAAAAATAAGGATTAATTATTTTTAAATAAATCTTTCTTTATAAAATTATGTTTGTGGATAGCACATCAGTTTATAAATATATAAAAAATCATTTAAATCATCGTCATTAATGCGAATTTAATCGACTTCGAATAAGGAGGGCGTTATATGTTCAATTCTACTATACTTGGCAATTAGTTGACACTTTTTGTATCAGTATTCTATATACTTACATATAAAATGCATCTTGACTTATAATATTTAATAAATAAAATAAGTATTTATGCGTTAAAATATGCAGAATTTATGAGACAAAATAAATATAGAAGTTATAAAGGAATCACTCATAACTATTTATCACGCAAAATTGTATAAAAAAGTTGATCCGTTTTCATCGAAGCATTTCTATGGAGACACTATATATATATATATATATATATATATGCCCATCGATTTCTCTATCAATTGTAGACTGATTTCATGAAGTATTCTTCTCAAAGCGATGACAAATGTAACAACGCCATCTGTATGGACAAAACTTGAACAACAAGACCCAAGGTCGTTGTGACAACTGAAAAATTATAACAAGAATTAAAATGAATAATATAATACACTATTTCAATAGAAATGAATGTAATAAAAATCTAACCTTATTCTGTTGTAATTGTCACAGGAACACTCTTTAAATGAAATTAGTAACCAATCGAAATGTTCAATCGATTGATCTATGTTTGATCATTCACATTTTCATTATAATATATTCAAACAGACAATAACGACAAGTGAAAGATTATCTTTTCTCTATCTGATTTTTCTTCATTTAAAAAAAATTGGCATTCTTTATTTATGTATTTATATAATTATTTATTTTATGATAGTTTGTTTTCCTTGTGCCTATAATTATTAATATGTATCCTAGCATTGGGTACATATTTGACATATATGCATGGGATTATATAATTTTGTTTGATTGATAGGTATATGTATGTGTGTATGTATATATGTATGTGTATGTATATGTATGCGTGTGTATGTGTATGTATATATAGGTATGTGTATATGTATGTATATAATTTTTATATATTTTTAAATTTGCAAAAGATGCTTTTTTAATTATAAAGCACTATTATACCTACTTGTACAACAATTAGTCCATTACCTTAAGGTTGTCTTGAAAAGATTGCTCTCAGCAATAAGACCGCCTTACTGTACTTATACAATTGTATCGTTGTGTTTATTAATTGTCTTGTTTATTTCCTATATTGTATAATGCAAATAAAGTATACTCATTCATTCATTCATTTTACACTAGTCGTCCATCTAGTAATGATATATATAGACATAACGAAAGCGTTGGACATATGTTTTTTTTTTAAATAAGTGAAGGTCGACCTGATAGGGCATATTGCTAGTAATGGAGAAATTAGACCCCATTATTAACAATCCCTTTCCCCTCAGGGTGTCTGGTCGTTTCTTACAGTGTGGAAATACAGTCAGCCTTGAAAGCATTTAAATCGATCCAAGATTATAATAGTATTTTTAATCTGGTTTAATTTTAATGTGAGTTCAATCGATTGATCTATATTTGATTTGTACTTCTGTTGGTCATCAGCGTACTGTTTTATCGATTGATCATTTGTTTACATTTTTATAACATTATATTGAACTAGACTGTACGTATATAACATACATAACATGTGAGTAAATACAGATATGTACATAATTATATGGGTGGGCGTTGGAGGACGACTTAACACGTATATAGGTAATTGGGTCGCATACATTGATTTAAAGTTTCATTTTTAATACGTGAAAATGTAGTGGTAACCCTGCCTGAGTAGGGGGGGAGGGATGGTTAATAATGGAGTTTTACAGCTCCATTGCTAGCAATATGCCCTATGAGGTCGACCTCTACTATTAGGTGGTTCATCCTGGAAACCATCGTGAATAATTCTTATTGAATTTGTAACGATGGACTAACTGAACTGCTTCATCCTCACATATCATCCCTCACTGGTGCCCCGCAAGTGTATATCGATAGCGCAGGTGGGGTTACCATTCCATTATCACCTATTAAAAAAAAGAACACTCTGCCTGAGCTATCAGTAAACACTGATGATACCAGAGGGATGATAGGTGAGGATGAAGGCAGGTCAGTTGGCCCATTGTTATGAATTCAACAAGAAATAATCACTATGGTTGAATTTATTTTACAATGTATTTAGTATATTCTTTTAATGGATGAAGGTGGAACGCTGCACCAGTTCATACTAATGGCCTGCAATACCAGTGAGTTTGAAGTCGGGTCAGTTGACCCACAGTGGCAAATTCACTAGGCGATGACTGCAATGGTTTCCATTTGGACCAAGCTTGAACTTTGAAGTTATAATAATCAAACTTCTAAGTCAGGGAGAGAAAAGGATCATTAGTAATGGGTCCTAACAGCCCCATTGCTAGCAATATACCCTATTAGGTCGAATTCCACGCGGTTCTTCCTGGAAACCATTGTGCTCAATTCTTGTTGAATTCTTCACGATGGGCCAACTAACCTGCCTGATGGGCTAACTAACCTGCCTTCATCCTCACCTATCATCCCTTACTGGTGCCTCACTAACGTATACCGATAGCGCAGACGGGGTTACCATTCCATTATCATCCATAATTATTAAAAATAAGTGCAATTAGCTCCTCACATTTAGGGAAACGTCATTCTTCAGGGAAAAAAAGACCGTCGGTTTGTTTATCACTGTGAGTAGTGTAAAAATAACTACATTTTATAACACATGTGTGATTTTTACTATGTTTCCTGTTTATCATCATCATTAAATCTATTGTATCATTCCTCTATGTTGATAGTTTTTCATATCGTATAGGTATTTTGTGTTATCTTTATTGTGAAGTACATTGAATGGAAGTACGCAGTATTTTTTACATATATATATATATATATATATATATATATATATATATATATATATATATATATATATATATATATATGTAAAAAATAATAAATGTAAAAAATAAAAGACATATATATATATATATATATATATATATATATATATGTCTGTCCGTCCCTATGTATGCTTAAATCTTTAAAACTAGGCAACGGATTTTGAAGCAGTTTTTTAATAGATAGAGTGATTCAAGAGGAAGGTTTATATGTATAATACATGCATAATATTGTAGAGGAACACTGATAAACTTAGGGGTTTCTAATGTGATGTGATGTAACGTGTACCCGTGCAAAGCCGGGTCGGGTCGCTAGTTTTATACATACAATATAGATGTTTATAATTAACATAAAAAATATACTCATAAATGTTAACATAATTTATACATGAATCATAAAAAAAAACTAATGAAAAAAAATTTTGTTCACGCAACTTTCAATTGCAAACAAGCTAACACCTGATGGAAAGGGGTAACCGTCGTTTATAGACATGAGCAGTACCATGGACATAACAGAGTACGAGTATACTGTTTCGCCCACGATACCCCCCATGCGTTGCCATTCCTGAGGACTCAGTTGTTATTCCTCTGTACCCTGTAAATTCACTTAAATTTAAATGTTTAAAATTAAGTGTACTTGAATAAATAATATTTCTTTTACAATTATGAATCAAAATTAATTAAAATATATAACATAACTGAAGACAACAACTTCAGATAGAGGTCACTATCTGAAATTGTTGCGTTCATTTACACCCATGCTAAATTAATTTATTGCAAATTAATTCACTGTACATAATTTAATTAATTTATAATTTAATTTAGTAATATGAATAAATGATCTGTATCTCATGCTGTTATCTCGATCTATCTCACACACGCATATTTAATTACTAATTAAATTTATTCTCAATTTAATTTATTCCTAATTACATTTATTGTAATTTAATTAATTTACAATTAAATATAGATTTATGAATAAACGGTCTACATCTAAAGGTGCAATATCCGTGTAACTTACCGGTTGTAGTAGCGATAACGTGTTTGCCGTTGGATTCGTTTGCAACTTGTTTAGGGGTCTGTATATTAGTTCGGTGCGTGGTAAACATCGATTTTCCTGTACCTCTAAGTAGGTCAACAAGTAAGTTTCGTTGCTCACCTGTGCCCGAACCTTCGGCTTCGTTCTTATGATTATTTAATGTTACCTTTTATCCGCATGACCGGATT